TCGTTCATGGTCTCTATAATCAAATAAATGTTCTTATCCCCTTAATCTATAACTTATGTATTCACAAAACATTCAAGAGTTAATTAGTTATGTGTATGCCGTCCTTAAGGTGAAAAAGAAGTTACAACCTAAGTTAAAGTTAAAAGATACATATGCTGAGCATATATAGCATTGTGCCAGTACCTTCTTACTTCGGCAAAACTCATGAATTGAATGAATCAAGGTAGGAACATACAGAATTTGTGGTGGGGGCAGAAAATAGGAGCCCCATGTCGTGTTGTCTTCTTTGTCCCTTGTAGCTAATAATATAAAACCTCCCTGCCATGTTTCACTAGCTCCTTGCTTCTTTTCCACGTCTTTGCAGAGAAGAAGATTGATGGGTTATGGATTCTGAACTTATTGTACCCGAAAACTCCAAACCCAATAAATAAAAAAAAAAATTAGAATCTTGTACAATTTTTCTATATCATTTAAATTAAACATATGTATCTTTTTAAAATTTGATTAAAGTGTTTTGACCAATAACCATCTTAAGCTAAATTACATGTCATTATTATATTTTTTATAATTAAAATAATTTCTGAATTTATCATTTTATTTACATGATGCACTTTTCTTTATTTAGTAGAGATATTAGTTGGTGATCAACATAAAAGCTCCGTGTAATTTTTTCAATTTTTTTGTGAAATTATATTTTTTTTGCTGTTTTTTTTTTAAGTATAGTTGTTGACAAATTATTATTAGGTACAATACATTACGTATATATTATCTGCAAGTACATTTGAATTTCCAAAAATCATTAATTGGTACATTGATTTACAATTTTGATAAGTTTGATTTGATACATATTGTTAATATTGGTACATTATTTTTATTTGTACACATTGTGCATTGGTACGTTTATACTATTCTCAATCCTATTTTCTCTTAACGTACTAAAAGAAAAACTTATTTCGGTACGTTTGATTTTGTGGGATTTAAAGATAGTTTAAACTATTTTGGAAAGAAAATATCTTGAATCATACATAATTATTACTAAATTGTATCATTATTGTGAAAATAAATTGAATCTAACCAACCTTTTTTTTTTTTTTTTTTTTTTAACAATTATCTCAAATGGAGAAGAGTGTAATTAAAAGGCTAGATTATAGAAAATTTGTTATGATATAATGTGCATATTATAGCACCAAAATTATGATAAAAAAAAGTTTAATCAAATCACTAAAAAACATGGATATTTGATCTAAAAAAATTCAAAATTGAGGCACCTATATTAAAAGATCCCATAAAAAAAAAGTAACTTTAATGAAAAGCTCCTAGTAGTGTTCACTTTAACAAAAAACCATATTTTTATACTAAAAAGTCAATCATGATACTATTCACTTTACCCTTTATTTTATCTTTATCGTTAAAACTTAAAGTTTTCTAACCTTTTTCATTAGTTTTCTTTAAAAATAAAAAATAAAAAAAAATTAAAAAAAAGGGGGAAACAACGACTTTAGGAAGCCATACTTAGCTCCCAGGCTGTGAGAACCTTCAAGGACCATCCAAGTATGAATTGCAAGTGGTCAAGGAGAAGAGGACAGCGACCGCTGCATTTAAGTTCTGCAAATGAAACCATAAAGAGAAAAAGACTTCTTTTTTCAAATGGTGTAGTTTAAACAATGTCGTTTTGAGCCAAGCAATGCATTGTTTTGGTTAAGCCATTTAAAAAATAATAATAATTAGTTTTCTTATTAATTAAGCCACATGAGCCTCATCCTTTTAAATTCACACAAAAGATAGAGAGCCTATTCTCTTTCCCCTACCCGAAACCTCAAGACTTCATCCAATTCACTTTCCCTAATTAGCTCATTCCCAATTCAAATTCCGAATTGGCTAATTGGCTAACCACACCCAACCAATCCATAGGCCACCACCAGCTGCTCCACGCCTCCACATGTCTCTCTACCCGACCAATACCTGGTTCACTTCTCTCCATCACCACTTAATATAAGGAAATTCAAATCAATGTCTCTCTTTACTATTCATGTTGAGGGTATTAATCTCCACGGTAAGAAAGAAGGAACCTTGAGTATACTTATAATTAATTGAGCTGTTTTTCATATTGTCAATTGGTTTATGTTGGAACCTTAACTTTCTTTATGATATCAAAGCATGTTGTTCTTCGTGTGAAGTTCAATAGCCACAAGTTTTTCATGTCACCCAATTTATGTTGTCCATGTGCTTGACTTGAAAATTCCCCAAACGTGAGGGGCGTGTTGGAGTATTAATCCCCACTTCAATACAAGAAGATACATTGTATGTGCTTGTAAATATTGAACTACTTCCTATATTAACAATTGATTTTACAACGAAACTTCAATTTTTTTTAGTTTCTAACTGCACAAAGTCACTCACTTGTCATGTGATAATGATAAAGCCTTCACTCACTCATCATGCGATAATGATAAAACCTTTACCCAACTTTTTCTCTAATGTGCTAATTAAGTACTGCACTTGATATATTGGTACCAGTCTACTAGCCAATTACTCATCCATTAATGAAGTATAAACAGTTATTGAATATGGGGTATGTGGAATTGAGATAAGAAGATTGGATTTGGTTGCCCCAAAATTTCCAAGGAAGAAAAAGGAGAGGCGACGATTATAATTGGAGGACAATGGACGTGACTCTCACCGGAACCACGGCTGACCCACTTCCAGGTACCATCCATCCATTCATTCATTCAGACTTTCTGTTTGTGTCTGCTCGAGAGAGAGAGAGAGAGATAACAGGTTTAATTTTAAGGAAAACTAATGAAAAATGTTTGAAAATTTTGAGTTTTAACGAAAATGATAAAATAAAGGGTAAAGTGAATAGTACTATGATTGACTTTTTTAGTGTAAAAATATGGTTTTTTTTGTTAAAGTGAACATACCGAGAGAGAGATAATAGGTTTAATTTTAAGGAAAACTAATGAAAAAAGTTTGAGAACTTTGAGTTTTAATGAAAATGACAAAATAAAGGGTAAGTGAATAGTACTAGGATTGACTTTTTTAATGTAAAAATGTGATTTTTTGTTAAAATAAACAATATCAAGAATTTTTTGTTAAAGTTTTCTTAATTTTATTGATTTTAATAAGTGCTTTTGTGGGTTTCATTGTTATAATGGAGAGAGTGAGAAGACTGTCAAAAGTGAAGGGAGAACCAGAAAAGTTGGTGTGCGTGTTTTTGATGATGAAAGCTTGGTGCCGCTACAGATTACGAAAAACATATCAAAGTATGCATGTGAGAGAAAGAGAGAATGAAATAAAAAGAATTTCACAGTATTAGTCCAAGAATATAAGGAAATTCAAATCAATGTCTCTCTTTATCTCCCTCTCTCTCCATCAGATATCATACAATATTTGGTGGAATCTCAGAAAGTTTAATCGTAATATAAATATAATGATGCCTTATTTTGCACTAGTTGATCAAGTTGTTGCATTACCCTTAATGTGCTGAGTAAAGCATAGAATATGCTTTTGTTGACTTCGGCAGTTAATTCGTTTTAAACCCTAACCTAATTGCGGCTTTGACCGAAAAACCCTAATTGCTTTGCAGGGCTTCAACAGCAGCTCTGAAGGGTTTATAAATATTTTTTGAGCTTCCCGATGGAACATTTGACATTTTGTTAGTGTAATTAAGCTAATCATCATAAAAAGGTTATAATACAAGAGAGAGAGAGAGAGGGAGAGAGAGAGGGAGGAAGACAGAGGGAGAAAGGGATAATGTTAGTACTGTGTTTAGACTTTTTTATATCCAAGGTTTTACTGTTTTGTCTGCTGGTAAGCTTTGAGGGCAGATGAGTGAGGGAAAGAGTGAGTACAAGTTGGAACTTGGAAGAGAGCAAGTACAGCGATTTATGTATCGGATCCAACAGGGAGAGACTGTACGTGCTGCTGTTTCAGATATCTCTGCAACTATACCTAATACTATACGCAAAAAATATAACAAATTGATTTAATATTTGGAGGAGGAACAGATTCACACCATCAAGTACATGATAAACACTACAATTCAAACAAGTTGGAACACATGCACGCACAAAAGGTTGAATTTCACACCATTCCTCTTTCAAATACCTTCTCTTACGTAATTATTGTAAGAAGTTTTACTTTTATTGGAAAAAAAAAAACCCAAAATTCTAGCTAATGTTTTAGAAGCGAGTAATGCTAGGTAGATAAACTTTTTAGAACAAATTTGCAAAGAGAATTGTTATTAGCACACTTAAAATTTCATTTGACACTCTAAAATTTTTATAATTAGAAAGAAAAATACATTTATGAGGAATGTAGAATGAGATTTTGGAGTGTTAATAACAATTCCCATTTGCAAATCATACAATTTGTTCCCAATAAAAAATAAGCACACTAATTAACACTTAAGTAATAATTCAATTATCAATAACCACGTCATATGATTTAAAGAATTTGATATAAAATATTAATCTCTCTAGCATTACCCTTAATAAGTTTCAAGCTAGCTAGCTAGCTTGGCCAACACACATGCACACTACACACACACCATGAAATGAAAATTGTGATCATTAGATAAATAGAACCAAGATTATCTTATTAGCTAGGTTAATTATATTTATGAAATAATATTGAAAAACAGCAGCGTGAGTGAGCTACTTAAATTATTTAAACATGTAAAGTGGTCCTCATCACAACATGCAATTAAAGGAGCAGCGGAAACAATGGTGAGAATATATATGGTGAAAAGAGGACTAACCCCCCTCTATATACTTAGGCACACACACACAAGAATAATCCTCTTTAGTCTTTATATGATCATCGATAGTTTATTAAAAGAACTAATCAATATACTAATTAATGTTTATACAGACATATTTTGTCTGTTTAGCTATTAAGTACATATAAACACATCATTACTGACTGCAGAGAATGTCAACCCTGCACGGCATGCGCATCTTCACATATAGCTGCACTACTAATTAATTACACAGTCGCCATATTTAGATGCTCCAATATTATTGATTAAACAGAACCCTTATTTGGGTAGAAGAATATGTAATTTAGGTATACAGCTAGCACTGAACCCACCAACTCCAAGTTATACTTGGGAAACAATGAAACTGCTAAGCCGATCTATTTGGCTTTAGCTAGCTACAAATTCGTATATATAAATATATAAGATCAGAGTAGTAGTACTACTACACGTGAGGCTAGGCATAGAGACCCTGCTGAGTTCTACTGCAACAAATTGTAAACATATCTACTTAATACAACACCTGCCTGACACAACCAAACCCTAGCTGAATTGGGTTTTATTTACCTCTGTCAATTATTGTGATGAGCTAAAGCGAGGGTCTCAAACCTCAAAATCCCAAATCTTAAATCACATTCTGCCCTCTCCTCCTCCACCACCACTACCTGCTCCTCCTCCTTCATTCCACGGAAGATAAAGTACTGGGAAAGCGACTCCAGGAGCACTACTAGTTGTAGTTGTACTAGTTTGTTGGTAATACTGATGATGATGAGAAGGATGATCAACCAACCTTCTCTGAGGAGCCATGTTCGGCTGAATTACTGAATTTACCCCGGCCATTGATGCAGTAGGAGGAGGAGGCAACACAGCTGTTGTGAGTTCATTACAGGCATAGCGGATGAGATCAGCATTAGCGGCATCGAGCTCCTTTTGGAGCCTCTGGACCTGTCGTTGGAGGAAAGAAATGGCACCAACACAGCCATAGACCGGGTCCCTGACACGTGCCTCGGCCTCATACGCCAGGGAGTTCACGGCATCCTCACGCTGGTGAGGCAGGACCTCGTTTAGAAGTTTGGTGACATTGCTTGCCCCGAAGATCTTGTGGACGTTTGCAAACTTTTGGGGCTCCTCTGGTGGGAAATACGGTGCGAAAATGCAGCCCGGCATGCATTTCCTTCTCAAGAACTTGCAGGCAGCGCATGGAGAGTTATAGGAGGAGCTGGAGGATGCCATTTGAAATTATTTCACTGCACACCAAAGCTAGTATCTAAACAAATTAACACCCCACACCCTCATTAATTTCTTATAAAAAAAAAACATGTATGCATTTTGTTTTACTGAAATATTCTCTATTTTAATACCAAAAAAATATTTATTTCGTTTCTTCTTATTTTTGAGTTAACATTTTGTTTACAATAACTAGATTAGAAATATAATTCAGTTGAAACTTTTACTATATTTCCCTTTATTTTTCTTAGTTTCTAACTTCCCTTTTTATATAGATTTCATCTGTTAAATGCATCAAGGACGATCAGAACAACCACACACACACACACACATATATACATATATACATATATATATATATATAAAATCTCTCATCCAAACCACCACCACCACCACCACCAACACATATATATTCAATTAATTCATGCAACTGAGCTATCTCTTGAATCTGGAAATTCTCAATTAATTTCTGTTGGCTCTCATCAGTCTTTTCCATTTTAATAATAGAAATTAGGGTAGTTTAGTTAATTCTTGCATGTGATCGCTGCCTTGATCGCTCTCCCTGCAGGGCCATCTGCATGGTTCCTTAATTTAGGTTTCCAATTTTGTCTTTTATAATTCTTTATTAATTTTACTCCCCCCACTCCTCCCTTCATCTTTCTCCTCCCACCATCCACTTAGCCACTTAATTAGAAGCAGAACTGAAATGCATGAGCAAATTTATATGTATGAGGTCATCAGCATATCATATCATAAATCTTTAATTTCCAAATTAATCAGTTAAACTGGGATCTGACTAGTGCAAACTCACCCATTATAGATATGTTTACGCATCTTAATTAGTGAAGGTCCAATAACATGGAAATTAAGATCTAATTTAAGCTAAACCCAAAGGATCTAGTTATATATCGATTTAATTAGCCTTTAGGCTATGCAGGCCTCCAAAAGAAATAGATACCACAGTATGGATTTATGTAGAATATATACAATTAGCATTTACAGGAAAAGTTACACATGTTTACCTTTCAGGGATCTACATACGTTTCTCTGATGAAAGGAAAAATAAAAAAGGGAATTTATACCTTTTTATTCTTTCCCTTGTGGAGCTCTTGCAAGTAATTAAGAGCTAGTTGTATGTGTTCTTAGCTCCTTCCAGGATATATATATTTATGAGCTAGCTAGCCTTAGCCAATTGAAGGAGAAAGCATCAAAGATTTGTTACTAGAGGGGAGATATACCTGAAGGAGGAAACCCTAATTGGAGTGTTGGGGGGGGGGGGGAGACACAGAGAGAGAGAGAGAGAGAGAGAGAGCAGCAGCAGTAGAAAATGCAGTGACAAAAGGTAATGGGGGGAGAGGCTAGGAGTAAAAGGCAAAGAGTAGAGTATTTAGTGGACATGAGAAGGAATGAAGGCGAAAGACAAAGTGATAAATGGGAGGTACACTAAAAAGAATGACTATGACCTTGCATCTAATAATAATATCAAAGGATGAGAGGATGTCTCCCATTCCTCTCTATCTCACTCCACCTCATTTTTAATCTCATGCATTCAGACAACAGTCACAACACACACATACAATACACACACATTCAGTAAATTAAATATAATTGATTAACATAAGGATGGAATTCTAATTGTAACATATATGTATATGCGCTATCTTAAATGCATTTTCTCAAACTAATAAGGAGACACATGCAGAGATAAGAAAGGAAATGTTCAGTTATTACATAAATATTTAGAGCTCTATATAGATATCGAGCATCACCAACAAACAGCAGTACAATAATGGAATCCGAGAAAATGGTTTTTGTAAGCAATAAGGCCACTCCAACTGCAATTGTAAATAGTGGTTGAATATCACATCTCCCAAACTCCCTCAGTCCTATCCAAAGTCATATCATAGCTGCATCCATGATTCTCACAAGTATAGTTGTGCACATTCTTAACCAAGTTTATAACTCAAACACTCATTAAATATGTGGCAGTTAACTAAATGATATTTACTCATATAGCTCCAGCATGAATTAGAAATATATAGAGCTAGTTGATTGCAATTGCATTTTTAGTTTTTAGTTTTTATTTTCTATGTTAGAAATAAAAGGAAGGTATTCGAGGGAAATGAGAAACTAAATTGAAAGTGAAAACTACTTTGAAATTATTCGGTTTTAATTTTGTGTGTCATTTCGTACACATTCTTTTGACATTTCTTCCACCATCCTTCGTTTGCCTGTATTCACTCCTTCCCGCATACTTTTCCTCTATCTAGAGCACACACATGAAAATTAAAAAGTAATTATCATAAGTGTTGCTAACCATGTGTTTAAATACTTTTTCTTCAATTGAATTGCAGTCAATATTCTGTTATTAAAGGTATCAAAGCTAAAAAAGAAAAATTAGAATCAAATTATATTCTCTACCTTAATTACAACTTGTTCCTCAGTTTCAACGAATTGTAGGGATCTCCTTCTCAATTTAAGGGCCACTAGAATAGTAGCACTCCCTTCAAATTTATGTAGCTCAAGATTAAACATGTCATCAATTTCTTCTGCGGATTTTGATGCCAAAAACAAAAAGAAAGAAAAATATATACTTCCCAATAGCCAATGGATCCAGATCTTCTCCGGATTTAAGGATCCTGAGCCTAGAGATCAATTGATCCGACTCATTAAAATTTGATCCAACGGTTACAATTATTATAACTTGTAGTGGGCTCCCTGTTTATAATCGTTGAATCAAATTTCAACGGTCCAGATCAATTGATCCCTAAGCTCAGAATCCTTAGATCTGGAGAGGATCTGGATCCATAGCCAATGGACTAATCACGGTCCTTATTATGATCTGGTACGAGTACGATCGCCTCATCCATGGACATGCATGCATGCCATTGAGTACTTAACATGAATATATGTCTTAGTAATCTACAGTGAATGGTCCAAGGTTTGCAGGCTGGTTGCTTTCAGATTTGCGACAAGACGTGACCACATGATTGTGACGAGTACAACTCAATTTGCTACGTACATAACCCTAAGTTCTTCTTCAAATGCAGGTTGGCCAGATGACTCGTTTTAAACCTTTGATCCTATAAGATATTAGTATTTTAATGAATAATATAGGGTCATATTTGCCTCCATCTCCAACCGAGGGCCAAAGGGTTATAGGGCTCGTTTTAGCTCTATCACAAAAAACTGTCTCCAACTGAGGGCCAAAGGGCCATAGGGTCAAACATAATTTATTATTTAAATTTAAAAACTACAACAATTAAAATTTAAAACAACAACTTAAATTTAAAAACTACAACTTATATTTAAAAACTACAACTTAAATTTAAAAACAACAAATTAAATTTAAAAACTACAAATTAAATTTAAAAACAACACTAACTTAAATTTAAAAACTACAACAACTTAAATTTAATATCCATAGTCAACATCATCTTCATCATCCACTATTGTAGGAGTATAGTCAGAGGTAAACAACTGCTGCCAAGTCATAATTTCTTCTTTTTTTTTTTTCTATCAAAATAGGCCTTACTCATTGGAGTGTAATTCGAAGTGTTCATTTCCATATTCTTATCATCCATCTCTTCTTGTATTTGTTTGGCCCGTTCTTCATGCCTACACTTCCTTTCTTCCGCCTCAAGGGTATTTTGCTTCGCCATTAATCGCAATGAGGCTGCCACTTCATGTTGAGCAGGGTAATCATCATTTTCCTTGCCTTTTTCCTTCAACCTTCACGCCTTGTTTTGTCCCATACCCTAGGAATGGAACCTTCACCCTAAGACGGATTTTCTACCCTTATTTGTTGAATGGTAGGAGATCCATCTTAATCCATATCTGCAGCTAAGGATGCAGTTCTGAACACCGGCGTAGGAGCTCTATGTTGAGTTGGATCTTCAAATAACACCCACCTTTTACAAATTTTCCAACAACTGTGAAACTGAAAGGGCTTCGAGCTGTTCTCCATATACAATTCCTCCGCTTGACGTACCTAGAAAATATAATTACAAAAATTAAAGGAAATTAATTTATGAAATTAAATGTAATATAATTAAATATTTAAAATAAATTGTGAAAACACTTATTTCGTCGCAGTAATTAGCGCCGCTTTCATGTCTACTTGCGGTTGTTAACAATACTTGATGCCATTTGTTCAAACTTGGCTGAAGATGTTTCTTCCATCTTGAAGAACAACTCTCGTGGTTTCAGATATTTAGTGGAGTGGTGCCTTCATAGAACTCTAAGTATTTTTTGGACACACGAGTCCAAACACCACCATTTGTTCGACAATTCCCCCTCACACTGTCTTCCGACACCCATCTATAAGCCTTGTAAAGAGCTTCATCTTCTTTTCGGGTCCAAGCCCTACCTTTCATTGCAGACGAGGCCATTTGAAAATTATTGAAAAATTTGAAGGATAGATTTTTGAAAGAGGAAAGAAAATATGAGAATTGAAATGGTGTAGGAATGGTGAATGAATGGTTTAGGTACTTATAAGGAAAAAAATAGAATTTTGAAGAATTAAAAAAATAAAAAATTGGCTCCAAAAAAAAAAAAATTGAATCCAACGATAACTGGCGTCAGCTAGCCGTTGAATTCAAATTTTTGTTTAAGCATTCTTATTGGATATAACCGATAGGAATAAATTTATATTAAATATATTCCTGTTGGTTATATCCGAGCTCTTTGGCCCTTTCAGATTTCGTGAGGTCCACGAGATGATTTTCGGGTTATTTTCAGTCCTCTGACTCTCTGAACCCTTCGGTTGGAGATGACCTAAGGTAACATGCGCGCATAAACCTTTGCTAAACCCATATTTGGCGCTTGAAGGTTCAGTCATATCTTTAACTAGGTTAAAATGGTAATTAATTAATTACTAGTGGTCTTCATATGTTGAAATTAAGAAGAAATCTGACTTTAGTCATGCACTCCATAGTGGCTAAAAGATGCAATTTTCCAACAGCATCAGACAATCAATATCTAAGATTAACTTAGGGATTGTTAGCTAACCATTTCGTATTTAATTTTTGGTTTTTAGTTTTTATTATTTTTAAAATTGAAAACTAAATCTTGTTTGGTAATTAATTATTTTCAGTTTTCAAAAAAATAAAAACTAAAAACTAAAAAGTGAAAACCCAAGGCCAAATTTTGAAAGCTTAAGAAAATAGTTTTCAGTGTTCATTATTGTTTGAATATTGAAAGTAGTTACCAAACAATGTTTCAGTTTAGAGTTTTCAAAAAAGTGAAAACAAACACGGAAAATTGAAAACGAAATGATTATCACAAGGCTTGTTTGATAATCATTTTATTTTTAGTTTTAAATTTTTAACTTTTTTCAGCTTGAGATACGATGAAAGCATATGGTGAAATGAGGGATATGAATAAGAATGATGGGAGAGAGGGAAAGAAAAAAAATGCAAATCATGAAATTTGAAAACAATTCAAAATAGGTTTTCATTTTTTCATTTCCTTTTATCGGTTTTTCTTATACATTTTTTACCTCTCTCTCATCAATATCCTTCCTCTACTCTTTATTTTGTGCGCTCTTTCTTGTACACTTCTTATATATTTCTTCTACATCTTTCTAATTAAAATAAAAAATAAAAAATAAAACTGATATGGTTCTCAAACGACTTATTAACTATTCACTCTCGTATTTCTCTGCCCCACACCCTTCATTCTTCTTCTGCAGTAACTTGCATGTGTAATGCCCTGTAAATAATATCAAACGGTGAGGGTTGCTACACAGTTGGCTTAGCATGCAAGATAAGTACCAAAAAAGGAGTATGCTATAAAGAAAAAGGACATGTAAAGAGGGTTGTAGGCCTCTAAAACAAAAAAACAAAAAAAAATAGTTGGCGGGGGCCTTGAGAGTGAAACGTTTTTCGGACTCTCTTTGTTGTTAGTCCCCATCAATTTGACAATTTCCAATTTTTTTCTCTTGATCTTTCTTATGTTTCTTTTTCTTAATATTCTTTAACTAATTGAATTATTTGAATTTTTTTTTTTTTTTTTGTTGAGTTGCTTTTTATAAGGGTGAGTATCGATTTTTGAAAGCTTGCCGGGGTTTCATCTATATTCAACCATGTGGCTCATGGGGCCAATGGACTGATACGGTGGAGAGATTTTTTAGTGTGTTCGGAACACAAATATATACGTCATATGTTATTATATACAAGTGGAGGGACACTTAAAAAAAAAAAAAAAAAACGAAAACTTCTATCCACTAGTATAATAACAATATGGCGTACCACTTTATGTTTCCGCACATTAAAAAATCTCTCCTCATGAAGAAGGTGTACCTAACTTGAATATTTTTATTTTTTCAGTTATTGGAATTAATATTTAAAAATGAAACCATAATGATTAGAAAGAGCTTGCTGGCCAGTGCTTAATTCGTTCTATCATTCCTTTATTTATTTTTAATTAGGTTCAAACATTATTCATATGCTTCTTTTATGATAGGAAAAGTCTGCTTTGCTGACTGCCCATGTCATACCTCGATCCCGACATACGTCTCAGATCGACACATGATGTCATCAAGTATTCGTATGTCTAACATATCCCGCCTCCAGGATATGGCAAAGCATAACTCGAGCATCGATTTGCATAGTAATTTTTCATACATTTTATGGCTGCATCTAACCTCGTTGTTAGATTGCCTATGTACCCTAAATAGGGATCAAGAAATTCGTAGTTCACCTTTCAATACAACTCGATCTATATCACATTCCGTTCAAGCCGAAAGGCCTAACATACCCCAATCAATCAATCATTAGGACTTGACAAGCAAGAAATTATTAGATTCAAGGCTACATAACAAACCCACATGACAAAAAAAATTCTAATCCATCCATCATAAAAATCACCATGCTTCACATAACACCGCAATTCACAATATGCAACATCCAAAGAACAATCAACGAAGCACAATGTTATCCTCTAGCCACAATGGTCAACAAGTCTAATCATAATGACAATAATCACAACCAACATTATTCCACAACCACATCAATCAATAACATATATCATATACCAAAATGCAAGGCTAGAGAGACACAGTTTGGCTGAAGCCTATATTTTTTAAGCTGATATCAAATCCAATGAACCAACAAGTCAAATGATGCGATTTCGGACCACTCAACAAAATCTATCAACATCAGGTTCCAGACCACTCAACGGAACCAAACACCAAAGGTGATTCCGGACCTTGCTACGGAATCCAAACCAGGATACGATTCCAGACCATCACTTAACGGAATTGTGAAGTGGATACCTAGTTCTGGATAACTCAACGGAACCGAGCGGAGGGCCAAGGAACATATCAACGACTCGAAGAAACAAGACATGAACCAGGTGCTCAATTTACAAAGGTTCAACGAAATGAAATAAAGCACAAGTACTAAATTTAGAACGAATCAACAAAACGAGAAATGAAATAATGAAATGGGATATGAAACCAGTTTCGAAGCAACAAACCTCATGGCTATGGGTTAACGGTCCACTACTAGCCCTCACATTTCATCATATCATACCAATTATGCAAATCAACCACATTTCAAATATGCACGTCAAATCACATATCACAATCATCATCAATACGCAAGCCAAATCATGTTTAATAAACATAGGTCTATGGCTAAATATATAAAAATCACATTTCATTAGAAATCACATTTATAAAGTTAGGTGATATCCACAAGGATATTAAATACAATAGCAGGGTAGTCATTTACTAACCAATGTAGGCCCATTAGACTTCATTTAGTCTCTTGTCGTACTAATTTTAGTATTTAGAAAATTTTGAGACATGTTGACCAAAAATCAACCATCGGTTAACAGTAGGGTCCACAACCCTACGTAATTTGATCCGGAAGATCCGTGCATCAGATTTCAGATCCGTAACTCCTAAGGTCCTCATTATGCTCATAGAGCAACATACTAAAATCTCATCGCGATTTGACGGTCGGATCTTTGCCAATCTGTAATTCAAGTGGCGGTCAACAATTAGTTTTACAAACTTAAAAATCAAATTCGGGAAGATCCATAAGTAGGATTCCTGATCCGTCAGTTCCTACTACCCTCAAATATTATGTACTATTATGTTTTTAAGTTTGGTGTTGATCCAACGGTCGGATCATTCATTCATATAATAATTCCGTGACGGCCAACTAGGTGGTCAACCACGAAACTATATTAAAACATCAGAATTTCACTAAACGGATGTCAAATATAGAATCGGGTTATCAAAATTAGCCTAGGACGATCAGGTGGGGTCTCGGCCCACGCAACGGCCAATCGCCCGACTTGCCGGAAAATCCAACTAATTCCAAATATTACCAAAAATCACATAATTGTAGATCTCAATGAGTAGAGCAAGTTTCATACCTATGACTAAGACCAATTTGGCCTGGAAAGGCTCCAATTTCACTTAAACTCGCCAAAAACCCTAGAATGGGTAAGCTTCGATTCTTCTTCCTTGGTGCTCCGACGCCCCTACAATTGGTTGGGTCTTGTTCCTGGCTCCAAGGGGAGATGATTAAGGGTGGTGGTGGGTGGTGAAACTTGCCGGATCGGAGGAATCACCGTCGAGCACCTCCGATGCTCCGGTGGGGTTCTACACTGAAATGGACCTTAAACCCTTCAAATTTGGGTGAAGATGGTATATGGGAAGTTATGGAAGAGGTTGTAGGTGATGGATGATGATGATTCAACAGAAAAATGACGGAATCCATCGGAATTGGGTCAGGTTGGTGCGCGGGTGTATGGACTGGCGGGCTCCTCTTATTTTTTTTTTCTTCTTTTTTTCTTTTCTCTTCTTCTTCTTCTTCTTCTTCTCTCTCTCCCATCTTGATTTCTGATTGGTCCCTTAAATACGAAAATTCAAATTCGATAACTAAACGATTTAATTCTTAAAATTAACGGAATTAAAATTAACTAATAAAGACAACGTAAACGTGAAATACGAATTTAAATTACGAAATATCTAAAGAATAATGAAATTCCAGAGACGAGATTTCACAGCCCATAAACCCTTTTTGAAGTTTTGAAGAGAAGGATAATGGCCTTGGTAAAAAAAGCAGGTACCCTTCGCCCCAAAAAAAAGGTATGTAAAATGTGTGTGTGTGTGTGTGTGTGTGTGTGTGTATTGTGTCGTTTTACATGGCACAAATAGTTATGTAAAAGAAATATACACTCTATTGCCTGTAAGTTTTAGTCATAAATATGAAGAGTTTGAGTTGAAGGATTTTTATTTTTTTGAAGTCTTTGAAAGGCTAGGTAAACTCGAATCATAAAGATCATTATATATTCTAGATCCCTCCCGCCCAAATCAAAGCCTAGGGTGAGAGAAGTTGGTTCACTCTTATGAAGGTTCCTGACCTTCTCGGCTGAGCGTCTCGACGACCTGGTCATCGAATAGTGCTTTGAGGTCGAGGTTCGACAAGCACTTAGAAAGAGCAGCATTTATTGGGAGGCCAGATGGGGAAGTCCTAAGGATAGCTGAGATATCAAGAATGGTGGGGCTGAGAGGGCCAAAAGGAAGGATCATGGTGTTGGTGGCCGAGCACCAGAAACTCAGAGCCGCCATAAGTAGTTCTTTATCCATAGTAATCTCCATAGTCAAGAGTTTGATAGCGTCGTAAGTACCAAAAGCCCCCCATTCTTTGCCGAAGAATTTTTCCATTCGTTCGACCCAGGCTGCCCAGGTCACAGTGGTCGAGGCCCAAGCTACTTGGGGCCTTGCTAAGCACCACTTCGACCAATCGAACCTTTGTAGCATGGGTGTCAGGCATTGGTCTTTAAGGAGGTTGGTGATGCACTATGGCACTGCGTCTTTAAAAATGGCCCCAGAATTTGATGAGTGGTGTTTAAATCACTCTCGAAGCACAATGTTTTGATAGCGCTCCGGTCAATGAAAGCCTTGCATTTGTTGCACTCGTCAAAGAGCTTCGAGATGAAGGATGCCATCGATGAAGATTCGAAGATTCGTCTGGGTCTAAGGAAGGTTTTTTGAGATGTGACCTTGAGACTTTCTGGTTTTAAAAAAGCAGGAATGGCGAAAGGAGGTTTAAAGTTTCTGAAGGTGTAAAATGTAAATGAAGGAAATTCAGGTATTTATAGGCATTTCAAAAGGAAGATCAAACGTTTGATTTTTAAATTTTAGGGCGAAATCAAACGGGAAATCCCTAATGATTTTGGATATTTTGGGACTCTCCAAGGATGGGATCGAGGTTTCCATGGTTTAAGGACACACGATTGCTTGCTGCAACGAAATCAATGTATTAATGTGGAAGAGACGTTTCGGCTGGAGCATGTTTTCGAGGATCATGATTGAGGACTGCTATGTTAATCAAGGGAGTGACACGTGGCAAGACGTGCAGGAGAATTCGGATTGTGCGATCGTGCTTCATAAATGCGCTCGATGGATGGGACGTGTGAGGCTTTTTGTTATCCCATGGTTATCTCGTAAAGTTCGCTTCTTCAAGGTTGAAATCGGCTGAGGATTCTTGGCCGTGTTGGAAATGTGCCCTAAAACCAATCATATGATGATACTTTACGGACATTTCAAACTAATGTAGTTTAAATGTAAAGGGCAAAGATTATTGTTTGAGCCGTCTCATATAAATGTTATATGCTTAAACGATAAGTCCAAGGAATATGTGATTGGAAGAATGCGATCTAAAGAAGTTAGATTCATGAGACCATTCTTTCCTTGACACATCCTAAACGTTCCTGATCATAAGATTGTCAATTGGGCATTGACAGTCCATTAAGATCAGTACGTGCTATGTCTTCTCTCAGGGAGAGTGACTAGTCTCGAGTCATTGGTGTGTGTGACATCAAGACAAGCATGTAGGTGCTCAATAGAGAATGAGTTCACTGAACACGATCAACGAGGAGTTCTCATATTCATGTCACATGAGAACTCATGGTTGGGATAATGCAAAGTAGTCTTTTGACCTGAGGCATCACAGTTGTCTTGTGGTTAGGTCCTTAATCTTTGATTATGTCAAAGTCACTCCATCAGGAGGGTGTCCATGGCATCGTTGGGGTTAAGCCACTTAGCCATGGAGGCAAGTGAATGCGCAACAAGGGATCTCTAACCTTCAAACTGTTTGAGGGAGAATACTCTATGATATGATTAAGAATCTTTGGCCAAAGTATGAATGAGATTTAGGAATATGTTCCAAATCACATTCAAGGTAATCATATAAGCACAAGACTCACATTGGATAGTAGACATGAATTAACTATCAAACCAAACAATGTGGTCAAGAGTATTGTATTAAAGAAAGACCGTATTGCATTTGTAATCCTAAAACTGAATAGGTTCTCCACCTCTTCTGATTAGCTTGGGTAACCATGACATGCTGCTAGGCGTTAACCATGGTTTGTGGAAGCCCTAAAAGTGTATTATCACTAACGGGAGAATTGAAAGTAAGTTTCAATTCACAATCGATTAGAAAGAGTTTTAATCGCCCACTGCCTCGCTAAAAGGAACCTAATGGATCGTTCACCGAGTAAGGTAGAGTTTGAAGAAACAACGGAGATGAGTAAGAATAATTAAATGGTTTAATTATTTATCTAAGGCTAGGATTAATTAATATGTTAATTAATCAAACGAATAAGTTCGTTAAAAACCTCGGGTTAGTTTTGGGCCGCAAGGCCCAATGGGATTTGAATGTCAAGCCCATTAACTTAAGATGTATGACAACTTGAATAAACATAGGGCTTGAAAGCCCAATAAACCCTATAGGCTTGCCATGTTAGAAGAATAGGGCTTTTGGTCCATTAGGTCACTTATTTGAAGGGACTATAAAAGGACTTTATAGCCTAAAATTTACATATGGTAATTTTTGGGGAAAGGATGAGAACACAAGCTCTCCTTTCTCTCTAAAATTTAGGCCACCTTGGAGGGATCATCTAGCAATCAAACTCCTCCAAGGTCACTCATTTCTTCTTCATTATGCCTTGGTGATGAATCATTAGAGGTTCTCAATTTTGGGAACTTGGAGAAACTTTTTCATCCATCCAAATCCATGGATCTAAGATGCAAGGAATGAAGGCCCTCTCTTTGGGTGATTAGCCTTTGCTTTTGCAAAGAGGAATCTACAAAGGTATTGATTTCTCAACTCACTTTGTTTTGAGTTGAGTCTTGGTTCACCTATCTACTAGGCTTTGAATTTCATGGGTAAATGTTTTGTTTTAAGTGCATACAAGCATGATTCCGCCTTTAATTGTTAATTGCATGCTATTGATGTTGCTTAAATGAACATGTTTTTCACAAATCTTCCTTCAGGCCGATGACCTCAGAAACGAGGGGGCAATGTTTGGGCCCAAAATAATATTATTGGGCTGAGTATGGGTTATGTTTGGCCCAAAGCTTTTCCAAATATACTATGGGCTGCCTAGTGATCCTGGGTCGTTCAGCAAGGATGGTCGAGTCCTGTTGCAAGAAAGAATAGTTTGGATGAGCAAAGAGGTCGAAGAAGTCCTGATATAAGGGGTCCTAGTGTAATTTGGATTCTCGACCAGCAATGAATATGGCCTAAAAAAGGGGTGAGTTCAAAATCCTAATAGGAGTAGGATTAGTGGAAGTGGAGTTAGAAAAGAACAAAAAGTCCCAATCCATATAGGATCTTGACTCGATCTCAAGGGGGATTTGGTGTTATAAATACAAGACATCATGCAACAATCGGAGGCCCCTTCGAATTCAACACACAATTGCCCTGCGCAAAACCTCTCAAACCTCTTGAGATTTTTTATTTTCTTTTTCCGCCGACACATATTCAGTTTGGATAAACGGCACTGTGAATGCAACCGGCTAACACCTTCAGTTTGGATAAACAGCACTGCTGCCGTAGAATCAGCCGATCACGAAGCACCTTCAGTTTGGATAAACAGCACTACGTCGAGGCCGACTGGTTACCTATCCCAGTCTCGGTCAAGAAGGGTTTTCGAATCCTTATTGGCAGAGGTTATCTTATTAGCCTTCTCAGAGAAGTAAGGTGTTACGAGTTACGACATTCGGCGCATTGAACGCCGAGTGATTTTATGATTAGATACTCACAAGTGAGTTTTAGAGTTCGGCATTCTGACGGTCGAACCACATTTACCATCAAGACATACATCACCTTTGAGTACTTGTGTCTGTATAGTCTGGTGTCGATTCGACGTGCTTATACTCTCACGAATATAATCACTGTGACCGAATTTGGCGCTGACGATTCGTGAACTTCGCAGAATTAGCAACCTTGTCTTCAGGCTCGAGAATGCAAAGACCGAGATTTGTTCCTTCCTCGGCCGCAGTCGCAAGATAAAGAAGTCAGCAACGCACTCAACGCAACATCAACAAATTTTACTCCTCGGCCGACGAGTTGGCACACCCCCATTCAACCGAATGACGTAGTTAGCTTATTCGTTATTTGACCTGCGCGCCACGTAGGCTTTGTAATTTTTAGGGTCCAACACATACCAAAGTCAAAACGTTACCAGATGAAGTGGGAGACATGATACTCCTCTTGTATCTTGGCTTCAACCACACTGATGTACTAAGAGCTTCCAGAGGAGCTCAGTAGATTACAAGCTCTACAAACTTTTTGACATCAGATTTTGTGGGCGTTTAACCGCCTTGCCAGATGAGATCCTCAATCTTGTGATGTTGAGGCACATCAAAACGTACAAGAACGTGTTTCGAGATGTTCACGGGATGAAGCTACCTGTAGGAATAGGAAGCTTGAATGATATTCTGACCCTCACAGGTATACATGCTGGTGGTGGAATTGCAGAAGAGATAGGTAATCTGATACAGCTCAGAAAACTTGGAGTGATGGATTTTGCTGAAGAGAATATCAATGAGCTACTTGCCTCTATAAAGAAGATGTTAGAAATCCTTTCCTTGTCTCTAGAAGCAAAAGACGCCATCAGCGAGGGAAATCTTATCCTCCTGGATTCATTCTCGCCCCCACCTTTTCTTCAAAAGCTTTGCCTGGAAGGCATCCGAGGAAACCTACGTACTTGTTTTGGCTCCTCGGAAAGGCTTACAAATCTAACATTAGGCAACTCTCATATATCCGAGGACTCATCATTGGTATTTCAACCGCTACCCAACTTGGAAAATCTTAGCCTTTGGAATGCTTATGATGCTAAACGAATAGGGAAAGAATTCTGTAGCGCTGTTGGGTTTCCAAAGCTCCAGGTTCTCACTATTGCTTCGCGTGTTCTTGAGGAGTGGACAGAAATTGAAGAGGGGGCACTACCGAGCTTGAAATACCTCCACGTGCGCAATTGTTTGCGCCTGCAAATGCTTCCTCAGGTCTGCAGTTTCTCACCAAACTTGAGCTGTTGCATTTGTTGCCTTCGCCAGAGAATCTTGGAGAATGGCTGAAACCCGATATGGCGGAGAGGACAACTACAAAATTAGGCACATTCCACGTTTAAGATATCAACTCTATGGTGCAAGAATTCGCTAAACCTGATGGCGGAGAGCCAATGTGAGTGTAAGAAATAAAGTTACAAGCGTTTCGAATAAACTGTGTTTCTCCACACATTTCGCTGTTTATCAAGCCATGGAAGGAGTTTATGTTTTCTTAAGCTATAAGCGTTCAAAATAAGCTGTGTTTCTCCACGCACTTCACTGTTTATCAAACCATTAAAGGAGTTTATGTTTTCTAAAGTTAAAAGCGTTTAAACACGTATACGGATTGAGTATGCATTGGCACGTTGTGGTATAATGTTATTGCTTCTTGTGGACAAAGATTGTCCAGATTGGCCGCTGAGGATATCAACATATGCAACAGTAAAAGTTCCATCGAGCGATATCAATGAGGGGGGCATTGAAGGTTCTTTCCGTCATCATTAACGGGGCTACAAATAACACAAATATTGTTATATGAAATAATTAAACATAGAATAATTAAATAAATTTAGGACCGGCATTGTCCTAATAAAATCAAGAGAACTTTAACGAAAAGATCCCGCTACTGTTCACTTTAATAAAAAATCATATTTTTACACTAAAAAGTCAATCTTGGTACTATTCACTTTACCTTTTATTTTATCTTTTTCGTTAAAATTCAAAGTTTTCAAACCATTTTCATTAGTTTTTCTAAAAATGAAACATAAAAAACCCTACACATAACACAAATATTGCTATTGCAATAATGAACTGCCGGTTGGCAACCTTGCAACTTCGGCGGAGCTCCTTCACAACAACTACTACATTTTGCTTAACTTGTTCAGATAAATGGCGGGCTGCATCCTTCTATTTGAGGTACCTTTTGATGTCTTCCTCAATTGTTACCAATTTAGTAGATATGTTGGCAAATATTGAAGATAATTCCTTAAACTCGATTGCTAAATCTGCCTCGACCCACCGAACAAAATAGGCACAACGCGTGCATCTCCAATAAGGGCGTTTATAATTCTGCTTCGTCTGGGATACCCAAGCCTACATACCAAAAACGCCACTGGTTAGGCTTCGTACAACATGATCTTTTGCTACTTGAAACTTCTAAGCTATTGCTCCTCTAACTCATTGCGCTTTGCATGATCTAAAAATTGGATTTTGGAAGGGAAATGTTAATGGCACTCCACTTTTTCCAGAAAATAGATTGAAAAATCAGTACAGCAATGTCAAACAATGAGCAATCGTATATCGTGTATGAACCAAAATGGTACATATGCAAGTCAGGCAATGAAGGGAAAAAAATCCCCTATCCATTTCTCAAAATGTCAATTCATTCAAAATTTGGAAGCATTAAATCAGGCCAAATCAAACAATGAGCAATCCCCAAGTCCCTAAATTCGTAAATCTCGAAAAAATAATCAGAGAGATTGCAGAATGCAAGGAGTTGAGAGTTTAGGACATTACCCTAAGTTGGGAGGAGATGAGATGATGAAGTTTCTTGCACAGCTGGTCTGTGCCAATTCACCCTCCATTTTGCCATTGCCTCCTTACCCTCTGCTGGGGTTCTATGCTCCAACCAAACAAACACACGTTCCTCTAACATTCGGGGGAACCACCTCAGCATCGGGTAATCTTTCAGGGATGACAAGGCTGCAATGTACGTGTCCATGTCATCATATGTAGTGGGAGCAGCTGCAGTGGGATGGTTTTCAGCAGCCATGGGATAGTTAGCAATGCTTCTTGAACTTTATGAGAGCGCGAACATTTTGAACTTGAAATACTTGAACGCGAACCTGAACCCGTACATATTGATTTCCCACCAGTTTTGGGTATCCAAAGGGACAATTCGTGTCCCATCACTCGAACATGTTCCACGCATTCTCTTTTGACATCAGGAATATGCCTTCTATCAAACAGTTCCCGCCATTGCTCCACATTCTTGAGTTCCTCTCCCTTGAGCTTTAAAATCATGGGGTCGCCTTACAAGTGTTACAACAAGTCAACACAAAGAAAGGTCACTTTTCATGGGGTGGTCGCGATTGTCTGAGTGACAGTGAGTGAATGGCTGGGAGAGACAAGAGAGAAGTGGGAGTTTGTGTGACAGTGAGTTGCGTGCATTAGTAAGGTCACTTTTCAGTACACGCTTTGTGATATAGACGGCTTACAATCTTCTTAGCCAAGCCACTACTCACGTGACACAAAAATAACACAACATGAATTAACACACGAGAAATGCTAAGGAGATTCTTTAAAAGTAAAATTCTTTATCGATTCTCTACCATCTAATGTTTTTGGCATAATATTTTATAAAAAAAAAATTTATTATTGACACTTTAAAAATCTTATTCTGCACTCCAAATTTTTTATAATTAGAAAGAAAATATACTTGTAAAAAGTATAGAATGATATTATTATAGTACTAATAACAATTCTCTTATAATATTAATACGATAATTAATATTAAATTATGAAATATCAAAGAGCTCATAAAAAATGATTAGCATTTTTCTTAACACGCACTTTATTATAAACTAGTCATTAGTTTTAGTCATGAATATAAATTATGAAGAGCTTGAATTTAACGTACCCATATCCCTTCATATGTTTAGGGATAATCTATCTTCTGACAAATCGAAATGACAGTTTCATGAGCAATTGTCGTCTGCTCAGTATTATTTATGACCAAAATTGAACTCTTGGCTGAAGGGTTTACCAGTAAAGATCATTATATAAGGACCCCCATACCTCCCCACCCCCTACCCACTACCCCCACCCCCAACCCTAAACATGTTTAATAAGAGGAGCCAAGAGTATGAAATTTTTGTCACTTAGTACTACGGTTTAATAATATTCTTTTTCACTTGTAAGTGAGAGGTTTTAGGTTCAATTATCATCAAAAGAGAAATTAAACTACATTATTACTATCTCATTGTAAAGTTTAGCCCATCCTCTCCCCTTAAATGGGTCCTTTAATGGTTTCCAAGCTTGGTATGCCGGACACACGCTATGAAAGCAGACAAATCACAAAGAAAAATATCTAAGAATGAGAAATGTTAAGGACTTTCTCAAAAGTTGCATTCTTCGTGAACTTCTTGTTACTGTACAATCTAATGTCAATTCTCCAGGTCAACATTTTAAAATATTGTGTAAAAAACATAAGGTGACAAGTCTATAACTAGTCCCACTTTTAAAAGAGTCTCGTTAGCATTTCTGTCTAACAATTTCAAGGGGCAAATTCCAAATTAAATAGGCATTTGGATATAGGCACCTGAACTTTATATTTTTCACATTAGATTCTCGTTAATTTATGAATGAGGGGCATCAATGCTGGTTTAAAATGGTATAATGCGGAGAAAATGGTCTTTAAATTTTAACACAATTTATGGGGGGAGGGAAAATGCTAGGAAAATCATCTTTTTAAACCATATTTTATAAACCATATAATGTGGCAGTTGATGCTTTGAAGAATCAACCACCACATCATATGACCAACAAAATATAGTCTAAAAAGATAGTCTCCCTAGTGCCATAGTTGAGTTTTCATTTGAACCAAGAACAAAGTAACAAAAGAAATCAATAAAAAAATAAAACTAAAGAGTAATTTTGGTAGTACATACCATCATAATCATTCATCTCCATCCTTATCCCATATCAATTAAAATCATGTTATATTTTTATTGTAATGAAATTTTATATTAAATGTGATTTTACAAAGCCTAACCAGCACAAACTTGCATCTGCTACCATCTCAGAGTCGCATCAAGCAACATAAGCTACCAACACATTTGTACAACACTATATGGCTAGTTCAAATACCATCGAAGAAGAGACTAGAGAAAACAAAATCTTCGAAGAGAACGAAGAAGTTGAGACATCAGATTCTTCGTCATCTCTTCCGCTGCAGGCTGCTTCAATACAAAGCATAACCATCACAAAGCCACATCCTGAAGCTTTCGAAGAAATAGTCTACAAGACCACAAGACTACGACAGGCTTGAAGGAAATGCAAACAAGGATCAAACTGCAAAGCATATATACCGTATGCAATAAGCTCTAACCCATAAATATTGCTATATTTCTCTTCTATATGCAAATGCAAAACACAGTTGGTAGATCTCTATGGCTAGTTCAAATACCATTGAAGTCAAGATCGAAGAAAACAGAGACTCTCAAGACAATGAAGAAGCTGAGAGACATCAGCTTCTTCTTCATGTATTCCATAAAAAATATGTTGTAAAGATTTACCTGATTCTCTTTACCACTGCTTGATATATTGTTCCATCTTCCCCGAGAACCACTGGATTTCCAAAGGGAAACTTATTCGGTTACTAGTGGCTGAAGGACTGGTTCAAGAGAAAGCAGGGCAGATTATGGAGGATGTAGCGGAAGAAAATATAAATGAATTGATCAACCGGGGCTTGCTGCTAGTATATGATAACCACCCTTACATAGGAACTAAATTGCAGGTCCCCAGATCCCCAATCCTCTTCGTGAATTCTGTCTTCACCTCATGGAGACGTTACCTGAGTACTCCAACTAGAATTCTGTCTTCACCAACTAGAATACTCAGATTCTATGAAATTCCTCCACTTGCACTGTTGCTTGCGCTGAAGACGTTACCTGAAGGTTTGCAGTTTCTCACTACACTTGAGCAGTTAGACTTGCTGCCTTAATGATCATGCAGAATGATTGAGACCTGATGGGGGAGAGGAAAACTACAAAATTAGGCACATTCCACGTATCATTTATTACCATATCAACGGCGCAACAAATTGCTGCCACTAAGGAAGTACAAGGATCTAATAAAGTTTGGAGATCTTCGGATGGAGAGGAGCCAATGCGGGTGAATGGATAATTTTTAAGCTGTCTGATATATTCAGGATCACATATGTAACAATGCAAAGCTATAATAGTTAGGGTTGTTTCCATATACAAGTAGTTTGCCCTCAACTATTATGACTGACTCCATACACACTTTTCTTTCTTTGTACACCTCCATACACACTTTCAATTCCTGTAAAACATCACAAATCAGAATAAAATCCACTGCTACGGACAGTTGCTCTTGACAATACATCGTCTTTATAGCTTAATAATTACAATATTATATCCTTCAGTTTATCATCTTCACATCTTAATAGTTGCCTCTGGCCTTCTTTATGCTTCACTAGAGAGCTGCTTATAAGATCAGAAGGTAAAACAAGCAAAACCAATCCGAGATTTTATGGCATTCGATTAACGCAGAAAAAGAACCTCGTCAGATTTGCGTACTTTTAAAAAATATTCTGTTCCTAGTACAGATAGCTTGTTTTGTCACTAATTTTAAATCTTACTACAAGGAATATTTTGATCAAACAAAAATTCACTACCTTTAATCCAGCTGAGCCCGGCATTTTCATCAGTTTTCCTTCTGTTATGGAATCCCTCAACTTCTTTGCATCATCCCACTTCCCATCACCAGCATATATATTCGAAAGCATGACTCTGTAAGCGCTTTTCTCCGAATTACTTTCAAAGAGCCTTTGGGGGCTACAATTTCTGCCAGCTCCAAATTTCCACATACATCACAGCACAATGAAAGGGCTCCCCATATGCCACTGTCCACTGGCTCAGGCAAGGACAAGATTAGATAGTAAGCCTCTTCCAATTTTCCTTCCATCCCAAGAAGTTTCACAATATGAACATAATGCTCCGTTCTAGCTTGAATGCAAAACTCATCTTTCATTCTTCTGAAAACTTCCAAGCCATCTTCGACAAGGCCAGCATGGCAGCATGCACAAAGGAGAGCAGAAAATGTAGACTCATCAGGTTTCAATCAGTTTCCGAGTATCTCATCAAACATTCTAAAGGCCTCGGAGGCAAGTCCATGCAAACCAAGACCCAATATTAAAGAATTGTACGAAACAATATTCTTCTCTGGCATGATCTCAAAAACGCGAGTACCCATCCCCAAGAAGCCGCACTTTGAATACATGGCTATAAGTGCAGAGGAAATCATGACATCCGATTCAATTCCATGTTGAAGAACATAAGCATGTATCTCACAACCAGGCCCTACATGCGCCATCTGAGCAGCAGCAGTAGCTGCCAACATACTGGCAATCAAAACCGAATCCGGCTTCTTACCTTCCATGTTCAAATTCTTGAAAAAGAACAATGCCTTGTCATAATCTCCCGACTGCGAAAACCCAGTGATCAAAGCAGACCATGTAACTAAATCTGGCTCGAACAAACCACTAAAAACTCTATGTGCAGAATTCATAGACATACATCTCGAATACATGCTCACAAGTACACTGCCCACATGAGCATTAGAATCTAAATTCCATTTCAAACAAAAGACCATGTATTCCTTCTCCAATACTTATCAAGCTCGATTCCGCTAAACCCGAAAGCAATCCAACAATTGTGTATCCATCCGGCACCATCTCCATGCTTCTCATCTCACTAAACAGCTGCAAACCTTTATCCCAAAACCCGCCACTTCCATAACCCGAAATCATCGAATTCCATAAAACCAAATCCGGCTGTCGAATCCCATTAAACACCCTGCTTGCTTCATCAACAAGGCTGAGTCTTGAGTAAGCTGAAACAAGTGCACTGCTACAAATGGAGTCCAATCCCAACCCTGCAACCATTACCCCACAATGCACAAACTTCAGTCCATCCAGATCAAAACTATCAGCGCAGGCACGTGCGATGCAAGCATAAGTGAAGTTATCCGGTTTGATTTCAGTTCTACGCATCTCAGCAAACAGATAAAATGCATCTTCAAATCTGCGTACTTGAGCGTGGGCTCGAATGATGGAGTTCCAAAGGTAGACACTCCGGTGGGGACTTTAGTCGAACACTTGACGTGCAGAGCGAAGGTCTCCGTTGATTGCATAAAATCTGTGTAATCTGGTTGCGTAAAAAGGGTCGTGGGGGAGATGGGTTTTGAGAAACAGAGCATGCAATTGGTTGGTTCTTGATCAGGCCGGCCCTGGGACCCTAGGTGAACCTTTGAAATGGGGGCCTAGAGTTTTCTGACTCTCGACCTTTTGTACATTGACATGTGTAAAAAAAATTCATTAAATACATGAAAAGCCTATTTTTACGTTAAATATCATTAAAATTAATATCAAACGAATAAAGATATACAAACATTACTCAAATATTAGTATATTACCCGTCTCGCATTTTTATATGCAAATGCACTTATGAAGTTGACATAATCTAATTTTTTAACCAATTCAAACCGAAAGAGAAGTTCCTACCCAGCACGCCAAATTCCAATCATTTTTCTATTGTTACAATGTTACTTATTACATTCAATAAATGACTGAATGGTTGGATTACAATGACAACATTTTAAAACTAGGAAAAATATTAGAGTGACGAGGATAGTAATTTTCGTATACGTGCCTAGGCGGACGAAACGGATTTGAATAATTTATTATATATTATATAAACTAATTAATTTGAACATTTAATAATGTCATTTTTCAAAAAGGTGAGAGTTTTAGCCCTTTAGGTACATAATATTGACATATGTGGTATGATCTTAAAATAGGGTAATAAAACCCCATAAAAATAAGCATAAAAGTGATATTTAAGAGAGAAGCAAAAATGTTAAAATAAGATGGTGGGACCATCTTAAGTAAAATCATGCAATTAAAATGATGTTGGAATATGATTGTCTTCCTTGTCAAGCGAGGCCGACCCTGCAACAAAAAATTTCCAAATTCCGGCTTTTACATATAAGCATGCATAGCTCCCGTCCATCCTCGTCCAGACCTACCTAATTCCGCCTAAAAATTGGGAGCCCTTCCGAAGTGGGGGCCCTAGGCGGGTGCCTCATCCGGCAACCCTTAGGGCCGGCTCTATTGATAGCGATTGGTAAACTTTGGAGAGGCTGAGGCATGGCCCCTGCATTCGAAAAATAAGTTTACTTGCAGAGGGCTGTAGCAACTTCCAAATAAGAAGAATAGGGTTGTGGCCTTACTTTTTCAGTTTATAAAATAGAACGGTAGCGTTTCACTTTTCCAATAGCGTTTATTAATGGATCAAAATAGAATAAGGATACTTCAATCACATCTGCTCATCGTATATTATATGGTCAGTTTTTGTCAGATACTGTTTATATTTAATTTTAAATAAAAAGATTTATAATGATTTCTAACCGCACGATATACGACAAACAGATGTGATTGGAGGATATCCGGGATCCTCACAAAGAGGATCAGAGGATCCTCATTCAAACAGAATAATGAGAAATTAAAATGGAGCCCAAATTAATGTTCACCTAAATCCATCAAAACAACAATCATCTTGAAAGACATGGGAATCTACTCCAAAATTTTTTCGTTTCATCGCTTTTTGCTCAAAATAGATTCACATGCCCTACAATTGAAATTTAAAGTAAAGTATCAAAATTCTCATAAAATAACAAATAAATTATAACTAATATTAGAGTAAAAATATAAAATAATATCGACTCATCACCTATCGATTGAAATCTTTGCTTAATAAATTGGATGTGTCCTTTTTTTGTCTTTTGTTGAAAATTTTAAGTTCTTTTTATTCAATGGCAATGGTGAATGTTATTAGAAATTATATATAGTAAAGCGCAATCGAAAAAACACCGTTCATACGTGACAGTGTAAAGACGAAAATACCCCTCTTCGATTGGTCTCTCATTTATGTATTGCAAATTGGTATAGTAAAAAAGACCCTTTTGCATGCGTGGCGTGCTAATGAGGGTATGCACCGCTTTTTTTAAGTTTCTGTGATCTTATTTTTTATGCCTCTATAGTTAAATCCTCAAATTGCCAATAGGCATACGTGTTGGCTCTCTGTATACAAAAAACAAAAAAATGTTTTGCACGCGTGGCGTGCTAGGAAGATTTCTCTGCAGCACCGCTTCATTCCTTTGCACCGTTTCCTTCTTGCTACACTCCGAATCAATACTGAATACTGCTCATCATCCAAATTTTCTCACCATTTCATTTCGTCCTCCTCAACCTCTTCATTCTTGCTGCACGACGAATCGAAACAAAAATTTGCTCATCCAAATCAATTTCATTTAACCCAAATCCCTTAAACCCAACTTTCTTCAGATTGTTGGATTCGTTTTTCTTTTGTTGTTGCTGATCTACAAGTAAAGCTTAAATTTACATATGTAAGTTTTTATTTTTCTTGATTGGAATTTGGGTTTTTTTTTTTGGCTGTTTTATGATTATGATTTCAGATGGTTCCCAAAAATGACTAACTTTGCACTGTTCTTTTCAGCATTTTCTTTTGAGAAAAAACAAAGAGAACAGAGAAACATTGACGACGACCATTAAAGCTTCTTAAAAGTAAAGGGTCAGTTGAAGCGGCAATTCCTTTCAGTAGTATATCACCATTTTGATTAGTAGAGATGATATTGGGAGAAAATAACATCAAATTGTCACCTACGATGCATGGACACTGGAGAAAGCTACTGTATCCCGTATCTGACGCTTTAAGGATACGGATATGCGAAGGATACGCGTCCGATACGTATCGAAATGAAGAGATACGTTTAGGACTGATAAGATACGCGTATTGTATTGTCCAGATACAAGTATCCTACTTTTCAGATACGTTTGAAACTAAAATAGGAGGATAATCAGAAGAAAAATAAAAAATAATCACAATAAATCCTCACAGAATTGTGATTGATCGAAGTTAGCTAACTGAAATCACTCTAAAATCGGAGGATAATTAGAAGAAAAAAAAAATTCGGATTTACCTCTCGAACCTCAGAAATCACTATGCTTGGGAGACTGTCACGAATTAGACTATCATATGCAACCGTTCTGTCGTCTCCATCTGCAACTACGCTATCGTCTCCATCTTCTCCGTCTACAATTGCTCCGTCGTCTCCTTCGTCTCTGTCTGCAACTCCTGGTGAGTGAGTGGTGAGCTTTCGTTTTCAGTTTCACTTTGTTAATACTTAATAGTGAAACTGTGAAACCGAAACCCATCTCTGAAACTGAAACTAAAACCCATCTCTGATCCCCGAGGACATCACAAAACCCATCTCGTTTTTAGAAATTTGACGTATCTTCGTGTCGTATCCCCGTATCCGTGTCCATGTCCATACATCGTAGATTTTCACCTGATATTACACATCCTGCCTGACAAGCAATTTATTAATGTTATGCCCTAAATCAATGAAATATCAACCATATCGGTCATTTATATTGTAACAATTAATTACAACTCATGATACTCCTCATAACAAATTTTTCAATATTGATATGATTTTATCTATGCAATTAATAGCAACTCATGACACTTCTCATTACAAACTTTCCACCATTCCATGTTTATATGATTTTATGTACGCGAAAGACTATATATTTGAAGATAAAATTGAAGAGGCGTGCCCGTTTCTTATGTTTTCCTTTTTGTTTATGCACCGTGATTTTTATTTGGCAAAGAAATAATATAATTAGGATGTACATATTGTCTTGGAGAATACAATTGCAAAGCTCCCAGCAGCTGTGTGGAAATTGGATTGGAATTTGCAGACGAGATTTAGGAATGTGATTTGATTTTTTGTGGGTTTTTAATTTTTTTCTGTATGGTTATTGTGTATTTATTTTATTTAATTACAATTTGAATGCGATGAAAATTTAAAAATTAATTTATGCTTGTTCATTTTTTCTTCACATCCTATAATTTGGTGCTTGAAGTTTACATTTTTTTTGCACATGATGGCAAAATGCCAAAAAGAAATTGGAATAACAAAACAAATCAGATGGTACAAGACTATACTTCGAGCGGAGTGCGGGCAATTTGACTAGTTATATCTATTGGTCATCGTGCTTGAATATTAGGCCTAATTTTTTGTTTCTTAGTTTCTTAGTTGGTTGGTTGGTTTGTTCCTTTTTTTTTTTTTTTTAAAGGAAAAGCTCGATTGCATGAGAGAAATTTTATAGAATTAGAAAAACTAAGTGCATAAAAAAAAAGTTGCACTTAGTTAAGGGGAGATAAAGTTTAGCTCATAATATGAGAAGAAATAATAGTAAAAAATACAATAAAAGAGCGGGCAACATAAACTTGATTAAGAAAACAAATAAAAAAACACGAAAATAAGAACAACGCGCTGCCCCAGATGGTCCTGTTCGTGGGGGTGGGGGGGGGGGGATGGGGATGGTGCGGTTGGTTGGTTGGTTGGGGGGATGGGGGTGGGGGTGGGGGTAGGGGGAAAACAAATATTGGGTTGTGGGGGTGGGGTGGGAGGAGGATGGTGTGGTTGGTCGGTCGCGGGGGATGGGGGTGGGTGAAAACAAAATATTGGGGGGATGGTGCGGTTGGTTGGTTTTTTTTTTTTTTTGGGGGGGGGGGGGGGGCCATGCGGTCTAGTTGCACTGGTAAAACCTCCACACCGTTCGTTCATTATCGCAAGGAGGTGGAGGCGTCAGATTTGGCATTGGTCTTAGACTGCGGCGAACGGGCATCACTTTCGTGCTCAAAATATCACTTTGACATTCAAAGCAACCTTGTTCTACTATATGAGAAAATCACAAGAAGCAAGAAATAAGTTACCAAATAATAAAATTGGTAAAAAGTAAGTCGACTTAAGTGGCTAATGCTAATGCTTGGAGATCTCGTAAAAGGAAGATAATTATTAGTTATACCATGAGGAAGTAGTCCACAAGTTGCTTGGAAATCCCCCACCAGAAGCAACACTAGTGTTGTAATTGCCACCAGCTTTGCTGAAGGACCATTCATCTTCGGAAGCAGAACCAATAACTTCGAAAATCCTATCACCACAACGTGAAGATGAATGATAGTGCAAAGGGAAAGCAAGATTTATAGACTTTAACTTGCAGGGGTTTGGACAACAATTATATGCTTTTGTTTCTTTCTTTTTTCTTTTTTTTTTTCTTTTTTTTTTCTTTTTTTTTTGGTCAATTTATGCTTCTGTTTCTAATTGGACTGTCAAAAGGAGGACCCTTAAGTCTTCCGCTGATGCAGAATAAATGGTAGAATGAATTGAAGCGGAAATGGACCATTGAAAAATAAAAGGATTTGGGCCCTTGTTAACTTTTTGGAAAGAAAATAGCGCCACGAGCCCAACACACCACTTAGGCTTTGATGTATGATGGATTTTGGCCGTTTAGGGTCATTTCAGCCTCCAAAACAGGGTTTAAAGTTTTAGAATAAAAATCTGACTCTTCGTTTTTAGTCCGATTAATGTTTAACTAATGTTGTTGTAATTATTAGAAGTCATTTGAGTTGTTCCAAACATTTGTAATCTTTATTTAAGTCATCTGGATGTATCAATGACAATCATTCAAGAATTAATCAAACAAAAACCCTTTGGGATTTCTCTCAATTTTCCAATGGATTCTAGATTTTGTTCTGCAATGGATTACGTTGATTACCCCTTCATCACTTTATGATGCGTCATCCACTCTTTTCATTTATTCTCTACCATACAAGAGATTTTTCATTTGTTCATTGAAAATAGTGTAATTTTAAACACGTGACAATTTTTTATTAATCTTTAACGTCACTGAAATTAAAACTTGATTACAAATCAGAATTTCTTTATACCATACACCTCAATTTAGTACAATCACCCATGTGTAGTGTGACAAGTAACTTGTCACAAGTTGCATAAGACTCCTCAATAGTAGAGTCATATTTTGACCAATATGTCAATTGCATTAGGTGCCTAATTTTTTCTTGGTTAATTATCTACGAGTAAAGTCTTGTCTTAGTTCATTATCTACGAGAATAAAGTGAGAAAAAAAGAATTAGAAACTTTTTATGACGGTTGTTCATATGTAGGGCTCCATTTTGTGATCGCTTCGGCCCCCAAATTTGAAGACCCCAATGAAGGTGCCAGAACAAACTGCTTCCTTAATTTATTTTTTATGGGTGAAGGTGGAGATGAATGATAGTGCAAAGGGAAAACAAGATTTATAGACGTTGATTTGACTTTGATCTGCCTACGAACTTTGGTTCACACTCTACGTATTTTATTCTTTTAAGCTTTCTCGAGTCAACCTAACTTACTTGTAGGGGTTTGGACAAGAGTTTCTGATTGGACTTTCAAAAGGTTGACGACAAGTCTTTCACCACGGAGAATCGTGGATAATGGGTTCCCGCTTTTATGGTCATTTTCTTCCACTGCAGAATCGTGGATAATGGGTTCCAGCTCTTATGGTCATTTTCTTCCACTGCAGAATCGTGGATAATGATTTCCAGCTCTTATGATCATTTTCATCAGAAAAATTTTATTTGAATCCATATAATATCTCTTTACACCTAACTTACTCTTTACACTCATATTATTTTTAATTAAACTATCAATATTTTTTAAACCCAAATTTATTACCTAAACTACCCTTAGAAACCCAATTTAATATGTAAATTTATCTTTACATCCTGTTTGGACCTAAAATTACACTATCAGCCTGAATAATCGAGATCGGTAAGTAAGCAAAGTTCTAGACCGTTAGATGACAAAGTGGTTGAGATAATTTTAATTATCATGGAGGGATAATATTGTGTTTTAATCATAATATTTATCTTTCGGTAATATATTGAATTATTTCAACTTAGTGTTGTCTAATTCTCCAATTGATTTGAATGATGATGGAATATGGGGATATGGATGTGCATTAAGGCGTGACATCAGATGATGAAGTAGGATGGAATGATTATCATATGAATACAAATGGTATATGCCTTTTAATTCTTGCCATGTGGAATGCATCAATAGTAGATTTTGACTCCTTATGCAAGTATTCAAGTATGGGTTTGATTTGGGATGTCTAGCGTGTAGACTGGATCAATTTGGTTGCCAGATTCAAGTGTGGACGTGTGGCTTTTATTTTGTTTGAAAAGTCAGCCATTTGGAAGATAAGCTTTAGCCTATGCCATGGATCAGTCTCTCATTCTACGTGTGGAATGATTGGATCAGTTTGGTTGATAGATTCAAGTGTGGATGTGTGAACGTGTGGCTTTTATTTTGTTTGAAAAGTCAGCCATCTAGAAGATAGGCTTTAGCCTATGCCACGGATCAGTCTCTCATTCTATGAGTTTGAGTGTCAGTTGGTTTCTACTCAGTGTTCTAAAAATCAGCCTAGGCACTGGTTGGTAAGGTACTGCTCCAATTAGGTGCCAATCGGCGGAGGAAAGCGGGGAGGTGTTAAGCGCCCGCCTGGGCGCTCCTAGGCGGCCTCAGCGGCGGTGCTAGGCAGTCTTGTCACTTTGTTGCCTTCTTTCGAGCTCGCAGTCACCATTTTCTCATTGCATTCCATCTTTAGTCACACCCATGCCTTAGATCTCCGACGAAATCCGACGAGGAGGGAGTGAAAAAGAGAGAGAGAGAGAGAGAGAAAGGGAAGGAGAGAGAGAATATCTGCTGTGGAAAGGGATGTGGGTAGAAAGATAGCGCTGCAGAGAGTGAGATCGAAGAGAGAAATCGGAAGTCTGCAAATGAGATAAAGAGAAAGGTGGGGGGTGGGTGGGGCTATATTATCTAGGGTTAGTAGGTTTTTTATTAATTAAAATTTTATGAACTTTGTTTCAAGATTTGTAGCAGGCCCAATTTTAATTCTTTAAACAAAATAAGACCCAATAATAATTATGGTCTTAAAAAAACCCTAAAGTTTTATACAATACTTATATTTTATAACAAATATTTATTTTATATGTTTTGTATTTTATTTTTCTCAACAAGTATGATTTTTATGTGTGTAAAAATGGACTTATTTATATATTATATTATAAATATATTTAAAAAGTACAAATCCGCCTAGTCCGTCTAGACGTCCATCTAGGCCCTGCCTAACTATCTAGATGCTAGACCCCAACTTACTGTCCGACTAGCGCCTAACATTTTTTAAAATCATTCTAAATGAGATGCAAATTACCTCAGTCTAAGACCATCTCCAACAATGGCTTATAACCTAAAATTCCCTTTTTTTTCCCCTCAAAACCCACTCCAACCCATGTGCTAAATAAAATCTAAAACCCAAAACTTAAAAGAAGGCCAAATACCAGCCCGTTTTTAGGCCAAAAGTCATTATGGACCCTACCTGTTGTGAGTGAAACACGGGCTGTGAAGCCCAGTTTCCTTTCTGCCAGACGCCCACGCGCTGCACGCGCCAGAAAAATTTCTCTCAGCCGACAGCCCCACGTGGGGCTGTTCCCTCAGGTTTCAAAGCAAAAGCAGCCTAACGGCTACTTTTTGTAATCCAATGGTGACTTTAAATGGGCCGTTGGTTAATCCAACGGTCCAGGTTCAAATTTTTTTTTTTTAGTTTTATATTTATGTATTTATTGAATCTAACGGCTTAGATCAAATATAATTAAATATAACGGTAAAAAAAAAGATCTAACGGTCCAAATTTAAATGCAACGACTAGAATAATTTTAAAAAATTATTTAACTTAAAATTCAACCAAAAATTCTATAAATACCTATGTATTTGTTCAAACATCCACACAAAACTCACTTTTCTCCTACAATTCTTCCAATTTTTTTTTATACCATTTATTCTCATTTCCAGAATTTTCAAGATGGCAAAAGAGCATGTTAGAGGTCGTAATTGGACCTTTGACGAAGATATTGCTTTATGTTTGGCATGGATTTCGATTAGCGAAGATGGTGTCGTCGGCACCAATCAAAATAGAAAGGTTTTATGGGGTAAAATCGTTGATAAGTTCCATGAAAACTCCAACGCCGGTCGAAGGGAAGTTGGTGGTGTTTATGATCGGTGGAAGATTATCAACAAAGCGTGCACTTTGTGGAAAGGAAGCTTGGAGAGAGCCATGGTTGACACGCCTAGTGGAAGGGGCGCCTCAGAAATTATGAGTTTATTTGTTGATATTTTAGTTGTCATGTACATAATAGTATTTTGCAACTAATTGTTTTTATGTATTTGTTGCATAGGGTGACAAAGCAATGACAATTTACAAGACAAGAACTACACCAAAAAATCAAGCTTTTAAGTTGCATCATGCTTGGAACATCCTCAAGGATTGTCCGAGGTGGGGAACCGATGCGAACCAACAAAGTGGAAAATTATATCATAATGAAGCCCCACCCCCAAATAATGTCAATGAAGGTGTGAATTTTGCCGACAATGAAGGTGTCGAACAAATGACCCCAACTTCTACTTTTGCAAGGCCCCCGGGTAGAGATAAGCAAAAGGAAGCAAAGAGAAAAGGGAAGTCTCAAGATCCGACACGTGCACAATTTGCTAGCGAAATGGCAATAATGAACGAAATCCAGTGCCGTCGGCAAAAAGAATCGGCCCAAATGCTTTTGGCCATGAAGGAACAAGGGGATAGGGAGCAAGAAAGGTACGAAACTAATTTGATAATGGAGGACCTCGACAAATACACTCCAGAGAGGAAGAGATATTTACGTGGTAAGCAAAAGGAAATTTTACGAAGGAATGTCACAAGGAGTATATTTCAAGATGATGATTCATCTCAAGACTATCACCCAAGTCCATCACCAAGTCAAGATGATGAATATCATTATTAAGTTTATGTAGTCTATGAGTTTTCGATTGTATTAAGTTTATGTAGTTTATTAATTGTTTTTTTTATTTTTTAAATTTATGTAGTTTATTAATTGTCTTTTTTATTTTTTAAGTTTATGTGATTTATTAAATGTCGTTGGTATTAAGTTTATGTGGTTTATCTTGATTTTCATGCATTGATTTATTGATTTTTCAAAATTTATCGGAATTTAAATATTTTTAGGTTAAAATGTTCATAAAATTAATTTAGGATATTCTACATAATTTTTTTTTTAAAAAAAAGTTAATTTAAAAAAAAATAGACTTAATTCATTCTTTGATAATCTGGGCTAAAATTTTAAGCCAGAAGGGTTGGAGTAGAAAAACTGTTTCTGAGCTAAAACTAAATTTTCTGGGATAAATATTTTTAGGTTTTAGGTCACTATTGAAGATGGTCTAAGAGGGAAATTGCACCATGCAAATGAACAGTGTTTTGCACCGGATAATTTTGTCCGTAGGGTTTGGGACGGATTGGGAATCGGGTTAGACGCGCTCGTCTCTCATCTCTCTTCCTCTTTCTCTTCTACGCGTGCGCTCTCCTCTCATCCCTCCTCTCTGTCCTTCTCTACTTGAAAACCCACAATCTTTCATCTTCCTCTGCTCTTCCTTTCTCTCCGCTCCCCATATCTCTCGATGTGAAGCCCACAAACCAAGTAGTGACGGTTGAAAGCCTCAAACATGGAGGCCACGAAATGGAGGTACAGTGACGGTCGACAACCGCCTCCATTGACGATGAATTTGGCCATCAGCATCTTATGGTATGTTGAATTTCTTGAATTTCCCTTTATTTGGGATTCCTCTATCCTTTTTGCATTTGATTGGGAGTTTATAAATTAGGGTTTTTGGGGATTTTAAGATTTTCTGACTCTTTTTTTTTTCTTTCAAAAATACTCAAATCAAAACTGACTTTTCTGTTGCTGGCGACCTCTGCTTGCTTGCTCCCTTTCTCAGTCGAGTTCATAAGAAAGGTATATATTGTTAAAAATGAAATGCCTTAATCTCTGTCTACTTCGTCTAATTATTTAAATGCCTTAATCGCTTGAATGCTTCTTCTTTGCTTTTTCGTCCTTTTTTGTTTTTAACACATTTTGTAATTGTGAAAACGGTATTGGATTGATTTTAGCAAGTGGGATTTTTTGTTAACGTTAATCAGACCCGGACCTTTGTGTTGATCGAAGTCATTGCTGCTGGGTTAGCTGGTGAATGCTGGATTTGGGGACTCAAGAAGTGAGAGAGGACAAAAGCCAGCAGCTCGGTAAGTGTTCTTTTTATTCCTAGCTTTTTTTGCTGAGTAGAGGCTTTCTTTTCCTGAGAAAAGCCCTGAATCCATTCAATTTCAAACCCTAAATCCGTTCACTGAAAGACAAAACATAAGAATTAGTCGTTGAAATTTGTAAAGGGGTTGTGATGGTGGCAAGTAGTAATGGGTGTCGATTTGGTTCAACAAGAAAGTGGTCGATCGCCTCCTCAAAATCCTCTGCAGGAACCCTTTGCTCTCTCTCTCTCTCTCTCTCTCTCTCTAATTTTCTTTTTCTATTCCAGATCCACACATTCTGTTTTTTCTTTTTTGTTTGATTGATTGATAATGGTCCAACAATTGTTTTCCTAAAAAGTCTTGTTTCGCTGGTACTTTTATTTGGCGGTTGCTGAGAAAGAAAGAAAGTTCTAAAATTTGATTTGGATTTTGAAGGGGTGCAGAACCTAAGCTGCTGGCTTTCTCTGCAGCTCTTGGCCTTACCATTGGATTATTTCCAATATGTGGTACGTATATTTTGCTCAGGTTTTCTGGGAAATCTAATACTGTTTGTGGATTATGGTTGTATATTCATTGTTGGTTTAACTTCTTCACCGAAGTTAGTGAAGTTGAGAGGGACAACCAAGTCCTCAGGTCTATTTCTCTTTGTGCATGCATGTATGCATGCATAATGTTGTATGTATGTGGATGTGATGACAGTTTAATTGTATAAACTAGGGTTTCGGGCAATAGGATTGTTTATCATGTTTTGCAATTAAATGGAAAAAAAGGCCGACTCAAATTAACTTCGCAGCAATTTGTTTTTCCCTGATTGAAATTAAATTGGTTGAAATATGTATAATTGTTTTGGCTGTGTATTCGATTTATTGACGAGGTGTGCACTTTATTCAAATTGCTTATTCGTAGAAGAATTTGACAAGTTTTGTGGAGCTGCCAACTGTGTTATGCGGCGTAATCCGTTAAATGTTACTGGACATGATTAGAAGAATATGTTATGTAGTATTGTTTGAAAAAGGAATAATGGGTCATAGGCTCATAGCTAGCTGAAAGTATTGTCGAATATAATTTTAGGCAAGTGCTCAAATTGTGAGAGAGATTAGTGTACATTGCTTTCTGTGGTTATGAAGTATAGGACTTATGGAATAGACTTCATAGTTGTACATCTATGGCATCAGTACACTATGAAATATGACTTTAAATTCGCTGCTCTAACTTTGATGGTCTTCCAGATTAGTGTTATTATTACGTTTTGGTCATCTTTTCACTATCATCTCTCTCAGTCATGACTTAGGTACTACAGAATAGGTTTTTGTGCGTCTGTTTATTTGTAATTGTCCAAATAGCAATGTAACTGTTGAATAGTTTTTTGTGTATCTTTGCTGCTCCGTATGAATTAGCTTGGGGTTGCTTGACAGTGACGGTGAATTTACCTTGAGGTTCTGTAGTTCCTTACAAACAAACGTCTCTCTGTCATTGTGATTTGTTTTTCTTCCATCTGTTTGTTGATATAATCCGTTAGGTAGAGCATGTTATGATGTTTCCAATTTGATAAATAAAGTTAAGTCATAATGAATTCAACCATTGTATGATTTGCATTTATTTAGAATTCATAGATATAGGAGAAGATACATAGGAACTTAAAAAACCTAGAACAATGAAAAACTATGCATATATTGTGTAGCTGTGTAGCTTTTGTTCTAATAGGCAGCTACAATCAGCAGGGATGAAGCAAGCGTTTCACTTGCCAGGAGTGATTGTCACCATCTTTGTGACATAAGACATTTCTCTAAAAAGCATCTCTTCCTCTGTGAAAGTCAATTGCAGAGGAAGAACTGTTCTGATGTTGACGACTTCAATTAACAAGCCTGTGCTGTTGAGATTTTCCCATGTCAAATATAGAAGTCTTCAAACGTTTCTCAGGATCAATGCCACTTGGTACGTGAGTTACAATTTATATTTCCATTGACATTGGGTTGGTTCATTTACTTTCAGTTGTGTTCTTAAATTCTTATTGTACTGAATGCAGGAAGGTGAGAGTGCTCGATTGCGACCAAATTTGGGTGAGAACCGTCAAACTCTAATCCTAATTTTTTCCTCTTTTGAACCATACAAATTAAGTATCTTTGGATGTACTGTTTGTATTTTCTCGGAATTTCAGTATAGGGTTGATGGTGTTTGTATTATTAAACTTGGTCGTCACTTTTTTTCCATTGTGGCTGTCATTTTTTTTCGTATCTCAAATCAAAATTGTATTTGCTTATTTTGTTTCTCAAGTTCAAACGAGGCCATCGGTTTTGTCAATGTTAGTCTGACTGGGTCGTTCATCGATGCAGAAGCATGGCCTCTCACTAAATGGCCAGACTTGATCAAGCTTTTAGTTGATGGGCCAATCTGGAAGTGTATTCAACTGCTATTTGTACTTGCCCTCCGAGTATTAAATTTGTTGCAATTTTACTTTTACAGTGCTCTTATAGCTTGCCATTTTCTTTTTTTACTTGAATTTGATTTGATTTGATTTGATTGTGATAGGTCGAAAGTGTGAAAGATCTGCTGGAGGTGGAGGTCAGAAGTATTCTTCCCGTGCAAGATGTTGCCAAGATAGCACGGCGGGCTGAGTGTGTTGTTGCACACCTCGCCTTCTCCTCTCCTTCTCACTCCTTACCAGAACTCAAATCAATGGTGAGGTGCATGTCGTTGTCTAACTCATCTTCATCTCTGTCTCTTTCACTCTTGAGTTACCTGCTGTTGGATTCCGTTTGCGTTGCCGATCTACAGGTAAAGCTTCAATTTCCATGTTGGGATTCCATTTTTCTTCATTTCTGGAATTTGGGTTTTAATTTCAGTAATTTATTTCTATTAATTTTAGTTCTGTGTTTAGTAAATTTTGTTCTTAATTTTATTTCAGTAAACTTTTCAATATTGATATGATTTTTTTTACGCAATTAATAGCAACCGATGACACTTCTCATAACAAACTTTCCAATATGCCATGTTTGTATGATTTTATGTCCACGAAAGGCTATATATTCAAAGATAGGATTGAAGAGGCGTGCCCGTTTCTTATGTTTTCCTTTTTGTTTATGCACCGTGATTTTTATTTGGCAAAGAAATTATATAATCAGGATGTACATATTGTCTTGGAGAATACAATTGCAAAGCTCCCAGCAGCTGTGTGGAAATTGGATTGGAATTTGAAGACGAGATTTAGGAGTGTGTATTGAGTTTTTTTGGGTTTTTTTTTTTTTTTTTCTAAAATGGTTACTGTTTATTTACTTTATTTGATTACAATTTGAATGTGATGAAAATTTAAAATTTAATTTATGCGTGTTCATTTTTTCTTCACATCTTATAATTTGGTGCTTGAAGTTTACATTTTTTGCACATGATGGCAAAATGCCAAAAAGAAACTGGAATAGCAAAACAAATCAAATGGTACAAGACCATACTTCTCGCGGGCAATTTTACTAGTTATATCTATTGGTCATTGTGCTTGAATATTATGGCTTAATTTTTTGTTTCTCAGTTTTTTGCTTGGTTGGTTGGTTTGTTCCATTTTTTTTAAGGAAACCTCAACTGCATAAGAGAAATTTTATAGAATCATAAAAAAGAAGTTGCACTTAGTTAAGGGCAAATAAAGTTTAACTCATAATATAAGAAGAAATAATAAAGTAAAAAATACAATAAAAGAGGGGAGAACATAACCGACAAGAAAATAAGAACGACGCGCTGCCCCGATGGTCCTTGGGGTTCCCGGGGAGGGAGGGGGGGGGGGTGTCAAGCCTGATTTGGAGTTTCTGGAAAAAGAAAAGAGAAGAGGGCGGGGGCGGGAATGGGAATGGGAATGGCTTTGGTTTAGTTTATTGTTGGGGGGGGGGGGGGGGGGGTTGGGGGGGGGGGTGGGGGGGGGGGGGGGGGGTGGGCTGGGGGGCGGGGACTTTTGATGTATCCGTGGATTGCGATGAGGTGGAGATGGCCGACTTCTGAATGGCCTTAGGCTGCGGAGAACGGGCACCATTTTTGTGCTCAAAATATCACTTTGACATTCAAAGCAACCTTGTTCAAAATCACAAGAAGCAAGAAATTAGTTACCAAATAATAAAATTGGTAAAAACTAAGTCGACTTAAGTAGCTAATGCTAAAGCTTGGAGATCTCATAAAAGGAAGATAATTATTAGTTATACCATAAGGAAGTAGTCCACAAGTTGCTTGGAAATCCCCCATCAGAAGCAACACTAGTGTTGTAATTGCCACCAGCTTTGCTGAAGAACCATTCATCATCGGAAGCAGAAACAATAACCTCGAAAATCCCATCACCACAACGTGGAGATGATTGATAGTGCAAGGGGAAAGCATGATTTATAGACTTTAACTTGCAGGGGTTTGGATAATAATTATATGTTTCGGTTTCTTTCTTTTTTTTTGGTCAATATATGTTGCTGTTTCTAATTGGACTGTCAAAGGGAAGACCCTTAATAGGAGAGTCGTATTTTGACCAATACGTCAATTGCATTAGGTGCCTAATTTTTTCTTGGTTAATTATCTACGAGTCAAGTCTTTTCTTAGTTAATTATCTACGAGAATAAAGTGAGAAAAAAAGAACTTAGAAGAATTTTTATGACGGTTGCTCGTATGTAGGGCCCAATTTTGTGATTGCTTCGGGCCCCAAAATTCAAGACCCAGCGGGCAGTGCTGGAACAAACTGCTTCCTTAATTTATTTTGGGATGTGTGGCGTGTGGATTGGATCAGTTTGGTTGACATATTCACGTGTAGGACGTTTTGTAGCTTTACATTTTGTTTGAAAAGTTAGTCATTTGGAAGATAGGCTTTAGCCTTGCACATAGGCTGTTATCAGCCTATGTAGTGGACCCAACTCAGTTTGCCTCTCATCTATATGTGTACTTGACGATGTGGACAGTGGTTTCCACCTCTGGAAATGGATGCACAAATATTCTTGAGTCAGTCTAAAGAAGGAGGGGAAATTGCACTGTACAAATGAACAGTGTTTTGCACCGGATTTCATTCTAATTACAACTCTGCCACTATTTTGTTTGTTGACCAAATTACCCACAATTTTGTCCGTAGGGTTTTGTACAGATTGGGAATCGGGTTAGACGCACTCTTCTCTCATCAATCTTCCTCTTTCTCTCCTGCGCGTGCGCTCTCCTCTCGTCTCTCGTCCCTCGTCTCTCTCCTTCTCTACTGGAAAACCTACAATCTTTCATCTTCCGCTGCTCTTCCTTTCTCTCCGCTCCCCATATCTCTCGATGTGAAGCCCACAAACCAAGTAGTGACGGTTGAAAGCCTCAAACATGGCGGCCACGAAATGGAGGTACAGTGACGGTCGACAACCGCCTCCATTGACGATGAATTTGGTCATCAGAAAGCGTCTTATGGTATGTTGAATTTCTCGAATTTCCCTTTATTTGGGATTCCTCTATCCTTTTTGCGTTTGATCGGGAGTTTATAAATTAGGGTTTCTGGGGATTTTAAGGTTTTCAGACTCTTTTTTTTTCTTTCAAAAATACTCAAATCAAAACTGACTTTTCTGTTTCCGGCGACCTCTGCTTGCTTGCTCCCTTTCTCAGTCGATGAGTTTATAAGAAAGGTATATACTGGTTTGATGCATTTTCATTTTACAAACCATCTAAGATAAAAATTAAATGCCTTAATCTCTGTCTACTTCGTCTAATTATTTAAATGCCTTAATCTCTTGAATGCTTTTTTTGCTGTGTTGAGGCTTTCTTTTCCTGGGAAAACCCTGAATCCTTTCAATTTCAAACCCTAATTCCGTTCACTGAAAAACAAAATAGAAGAATTAGTCGTTGAAATTTGTAAAGGGGTTGTGATGGCGGCAAGTAGTAATGGGTGTCGATTTGGTTCAACAAGAAAGTCGTCGATCCCCTCCTCGAAATCCTCTGCAGGCACCCTTTGCTCTCTCTCTCTCTCTCTCTAATTTGATTTTTCTTTTTCTATTCCAGATTCACACATTCTGTTTTTTCTTTTTTGTTTGATTGATTGATAATGGTCCAACAATTTTTTTTCCTAAAAAGTCTTGTTTCGTTGGTACTTTTATTTGGCGGTTGCTGAGAAAGAAAGAAAGTTCTAAAATTTGATTTGGATTTTGAAGGGGTGCAGAACCTAAGCCGCTGGCCTCCTCTGCAGCTCTTGGCCTTACCATTGGATTATTTCCAATATGCGGTACGTATATTTTGCTCAGGTTTTCTGGGAAATCTAATACTGTTTGTGGATTATGGTTGTATATTCATTGTTGGTTTAACTTCTTCACCGAAGTTCGTGAAGTTGAGAGGGACAACCAAGTCCTCAGGTCTCTTTCTCTCTGTGCATGCATGTATGCATACATAATGTTGTATGTATGTGGATGTGATGACAGTTTAATTGTATAAACTAGGGTTTCGGGCAATATGATTGTTTATCATGTTTCGCAATTAAATGGAAAAAAAGGCCGACTCAAATTAACTTCGCAGCAATTTGTTTTGCCCTGATTGAAATTGAATGGGTTGAAATATGTATAGTTGGTTTGGCTGTGTATTCGATTTATTGACGAGGCGTGCACTTTATGCAAATTGCTTATTCGTAGAAGAATTTGACAAGTTTTGTGGAGCTGCCGATTGTGTTATGGAGCGTAATCCGTTAAATGTGACCGGACATGATTAGAAGAATATTTTATGTAGTATTGTTTCACTTTAAGTACACGTTTTGTGATATATGGACGGTAAGAAAGCGTGCAACGTACGCCAAAGATCCCTACCCTTACAATCTACTTAGCTACGCCACTACTCACGTGACACAAAAATAACACAGCAGGAATTAACACACGAAAAATGCTAAGAAGACTTTTTTAAAAGTGAGATTATTTATCGATTCTCTGTCACATTACAATTTAAGTCATTTCTTCGGTTAACACACGAGAAATGCCAAGGAGATTTTTTCGAAAGTTGTGCTCTTTATGGAACTTCTTGTCACATTACAATTTAAGGTCAATTCTCCGGATAACATTGTTTCAAGCACATGAAGTGATAGAAAATCTATGACTAATCCCCTTTTGAGAGAGTATCATTAGCATGTCTCTCCAAAAATTTCAAGGGGTACGTTCCAAATTAAATAAGCATTTCGATATAGGCACCTGAACTTTTTATTTTCACATTGGATTCTCGTTAATTTATGAATGGGAGGCATTAATGCTTGTTTGAAATGGTCTAATGCGGAGAAAAATGGTCTTTAAATTTGTAACACAATTTATAGGGGAGGGAAAATGCTACGAAAATCAATTTTTTTTAAACTATATTTTGTAAACCACATAATGAGGTGCTTCGATGCTTTGAATCTATTTTTAATGGTTTAAAGAAGAATTCCAACCATCAAACGCCATATCATATGACCTACAAAATATAGTTTAAAAAGACGCCCTAGTGCCATAGTTGAGTTTTCATTTGAACTAAGAACAAAGTAACAAAATAAATCAATTAAAAAATAAATAAATAAAACTAAATAGTAATTTTGGTGGTACATACTATCATTATCATTCATCTCCATCCTCGTCCCATATCAATTAGAGTCATGTTATATTTTTATTGTATTGAAATTTTATATTAAATGTGATTTTACAAAACTTAACCATCACAAATTTGCATCTGCTACCATCTCAGAGTCGCATCAATCTGCTATCAACGCATTTGTACAACACTATATGGCTAGTTCAAATACCATCGAAGAAGAGACTAGAGAAAACAAAATCTTCGAAGAGAACGAAGAAGTTGAGACATCAGATTCTTCGTAATCTCTTCCGCTGTAGGCAGCTTCAATACAAAGCTCAATCATCACAAACTATAAGCATCTATTTCCATCACAAAGCCACATCCTGAAGCTTTCTAAGAAATAGTCTACAAGACCACAAGACTACGTCAGGCTTGAAGGAAATGCAAACAAGGATCAAACTGCAAAGCACATATACTGTACGACATAAGCTTTAACCCATAAATATTGCTATATTTCTCTTCTATATGCAAATGCAAGACACAGTTGGTAGATCTCTATGGCTCGTTCAAATACCACTGAAGTCGAGATGGAAGAAAACAGAGACTCTCAAGACATTGAAGAAGCTGAGACCTCAGCTTCTTCTTCATGTATTCCATAAAAAATATGTTGTAGAGATTAATTTACATGATAGGACTGGTTCAGGAGATAGCAGGGTGGATTATGGAGGATGTAGCAGAAGAAAATATAAATGAATTGATCAACCAGGGTTTGCTGCAAGTATATGATGACCGCCCTTGCACAGGAACTAAATTGCAGGTCCCCAATCCTCTTCGAGAATTCTGTCTTCACCAAATGGAGACGTTACCTGAATACTCCAACTAGAATTATGTCTTCACCTCTTCAAGAAGTCGTCTCTTCAGGACGCTTCCGTAATCTAGAATTTCCTCATGAGTTGGATAGAATGAGTAGGCGATAGTCCGATTCACGGTAGGCTCTTCAGGTGCATGTGATGTTCGCTGCATCTTGGTCGAAAATGGCTCAAGAGTTAGTGTACTCTTCAAGGATGCCGCTGAAAAGATGGGGATTGTTGACATCGTTAACAAGGGAAAAATGACCCTTCACACTTTCAGCGGAACCCCAGCTCGATTTTTGGGAACGATAATACTGGCGATCCAAGTAGAACCCTACAACCACATGGGGACCTTTTATGTGATGGATTCGTCGACTCCCACAATGCCATCCTCTGCTGAAATTCGATGCATAAGATGAAGACTGTTCCATCTAGCCTAGTTACTTCGCTACCTTACTCCGGGCGGAGTAAGGAATGGCACACTGCTGTGCTGTCTCCATGAACAAATCATCATAGCAACCATAGTCAAACGATTAGCAAATAAGCTACAAAGAATTAGACTTAGATCTTAACCCTTAAGACGACAACACGTCAGAGTCAATGGCGGACAAAGACATGTTGTATATGAGCCTCGACCTGACAAATCAGAGTGAAAAATGAGGAATGGTTCGAAGCTAACCGATAAAGAGAAAAAATTGTTCACCAACTTACTGGAGGCTAACAGAGACGTGCTTGCATGGTCAGAAGAAGACATGTCGAGAATCGATCCCTCCGTGATTTGCCGTCATCTCCACCTGGACCTAACTGCTAGACTAGTTACCCAGTGCAAACGCAACCACGGAGCTAAATGAAGAAAATCATAGGAGTAGAGATTGACAAACTTACACCATCCAGACTGGCTAGCGATGGTGGTGTTGGTCTAAAAGAAGAATGAAAAGTTGAGGGTAAGTGTAAACTTTGCAAATTTGAATAAAGCTTGCCTAAATGAACCATACCCATTCCCACAGATCGACCTACTGGTAGATTTAATGGCAGTTTAGGAAGAGCTGCTGAGCTTCATGGACGCTTACTTCGGATACAACCAGATAAAAATGTATGAGCCAGACATGGAGGCAACATCATTCCTCATCGACCCAGGGACAACTGCTTCAAGGTTATACCCTTCGGGCTTAATGCAGTGGCAATAAACCAACGACTTGTCAACCGAATCTTTAAGGAAAAGATCAAAGGCACGATGGAAGTTTACGTGGACGACATAGTTGTCACAAGCAAGGAGAAGAAGGATCACATAGTACACCTCCAAGAGTCGTTTGGTCTACTCCAGAGGTACAAAATGAAGCTAAACTTGGAAAAGTGCACATTTGGAGTAGCATCGGGCAAGTTCTTAAGATGTCTGGTTATTAAGTGTGGAATTGAGGCTAACCCGGATCATCAAAGCCATTATGGAGTTAAAGTCGCCCAGAACTATGAAGGAAATACAAAGCCTGACAAGACAAGCGGTAGCCCAGCAGATTCTTTTCGCAATCCACAGACCAGTGCAAGCCGTTCTTTATGGCGATAAAGAAGAGCAAGCGCTTGCTCTGGACCGACGAATGCGAAGAAGCCCTCACAAAGCTCAAGGAATGCCTCTCTAAACCTTTATTGATGTCCTAAACAGATTAATAGAGATGACTTGTACCTATACATGGCCGTGTCTGACCGTGTGGTATGTGCAGCTCTGATCCGAGAAAACTCAGGGGAGCAGAAACTGGTATACTATATATCAAAAGCTATTCTCGAACTTGAGACAAGATATAAAAAAATGGAGAAGTTTACCTTAGCATTGGTAACAACAGTCAGGAAACTCTGACCATACTTCCAATCGTTTAGGGTGATCTACATGACGGAGTATCTGCTACGATCTATCTTGCATAGCCCTTACGCCTTATCTAGAGTTACTAAATGGGTCATCTAATTGAGGCAACGCGAGATATTTTACAGGCCCAGAACGTCAATCAAAGCTTAAGCACTAGCAGGTTTCGTGGCTGAGTTCACATTGGTAGCTTAAGATACTACAGACACAACAAACTCTCAAAACCCACTAGAAAATCCCTGCATTTGGAAACTCTACGTATAGATCATCGGCCATACATAGGGCGGGCGCAGGAATGATACTACAGCTACCTAGATGGCTCCATACTTAAACAAGTTCTAAAACTTGGGTTTAAGGCAAGCAACAACGAAGCGGAGTACGAAGCACTCTTGGCAGGACTCAAAGTCGCGGAAGAGCTCCAAGTAAAAGAACTGCTGATTCATTGTGACTTGATGCTCATAATTAATCAGGTCACAAGAGATTATGCCACTCATGATCCAACGATGATGCTCTATATAAATAAGAAATCAAACAATTGAAGTCAAACCTTGGGTATCAGTAAGCTCTCTGATGATCAAGTTAGTAAGCAATGTTAAGATTCAAGCAGTCGGTAAGAGAAAAAGCAAAAGAGCATGCATTGTACGAGTGGAATTGCGTTACCAGAGTTATGCGCTAAATGAGGGTATTTATAATAGTCAATAGAGAGACCTTTTTAAGGACATAGATTCAGTATTAAAAAGGGAGATTCCAAGAGGATATTTAGGATTAGATATTGTTTCCTCCTAGAAGTGTGATTACTTGAGACGCATGCCAATCTGTAGATGGTAAGAATCTACAAGAATATAGAAATCTATATGATCTCCAGTCAGATAAGTTTACGTGTCTTGCGGAACAAGAATGGTCAATCTTAGCGAAATCGGCAGACTTCGCCTACTTTTTTGGATAGACTACAACAAGATCTAGTGGTGCCGCTAGTCTTTTAAGCAGTTTTATCTGATCAGAACTATCAAATCGAATTCATGACTAGACTTCTAAGGTATACGTATTCTGATCCACCTTACTCCCTCCTTGGAAAATGCTTGGTCACCATTGGAGAAATCTACTATTACTTGTTTGGCCATTGTTTGAGTATACTGTAATGAAAAGGGTTTGATACACAAAATATTATTAATCTCAATTTCAATTTCGATTCCTATAATAATTGAAAGGATAGACGACAAGTCAGTTGGAAGGAAAGAACATATGCTTTAAGTTTGAATTTTTTTTTAAAATTTTTTGTAAAGAT